ACAACATGCATGTAGCAATATGTTTTACGACCGGGTCGGTTATTACCCTCTGCGTGGTACTGAAACCGCAGCACAGCCACTCCGCACGTGCACTGCTCCAGCTCGGAGCCTCGTATATGTGGGTATAACGAGCGTGGCTATACCCCGCTCCACATGTTTGCATTTTGCACGCACCCGTATACATAAGATGCGTTTCGCGTTAAGGTCACTGTTTATTTGCGCACTCCCCATCCAAAGGAAGCTGTCAGCTGCGCCCCTCGTTTAGCCAGGCAGGCGTGCCTGGAGATGCGCCGAGCCGAAAGTCAATGTCCACAGTAGCGGCGCACGAAGTTATCTTGTATACGCGCTCACAGGAACTTGTGAGCGGGTGTGCGCGAGCTACTTTTTTTCTTTTGCTCCTGTCTACAATCATAAATGTCTTGTTTGCCACCACCTGGTTATAATGAATGCACTTATCCGCAATTATGCAAATGTTAGAATCTTAAGCAGTTATCGCCCGGCCCAAAGTCGAAAACAAATGCCCTTGCCCACCCCCCCCCCCCCCCTCCAGAAATAACGGTGAGTTCGCGGTGCGCAAAGTGCTTTGTTATGACGCCTAAGCCCAAGCGAGCAGTTTCCGAAAAAGCAGGGGTTTTTTTTTTTTTTTTCCTCTTTTATTTCTTGCTTTCCCCGCCTGCGGAGAATCTCGGCAACTTGGCACGTCGTGGGCGCTCTAAAAACACGAATACGAATTGTGAATTGTCTTAGAGCAGCGTGCCGAGGAAGAATGAGTAACTGGAGATCCTCATGCCGGCCGTCAAGCATTATGAGGGCTGCAGTGTTGAACTTACCATTATTTCAATGGCGAAATGGGCCGTACGTACGCGAGCTTGAGTTTAGTGTTGAAAACTGGTGCTAGTTAATAGCTGAGCTGCTGCAACGCGGTAGGCCACACAGCAGGTTAACCGCATCTGGTATCTTGTTTTCCGGATGGATCATAACCAGTCGCGTTTCCGGTGAAATCGAGTAATGTCGTCAGTGAAATATGACGCTTGTACGTACTGGAGGTGCTACTGTGCAGCAGTTCGGCCGGCAGGGAAATCACATTTGCCGTCTTGTTTTCCCGAGAAATGTCGCAAACACGTCGTTGGGATGGCACACAAATAATCATGCGGCTAGTTGCCAAAAATCAAAAGCCATACTTCATCGGTTTTGCCAGCCCTGTATTCATAGGCGTGCGCAGGGTTCTCCAATATAGGGAGGGGCGTGGAGTACAGAAGCGAAGCTTCGGTGCATAGCCACCCCCCACCACCCCCTCTTCTCGACCCTCTCCCATTGAGACCCTCACCACCAGAACGCAGTGCAAAGACAAAGAATTGCGAAACAGGGGAGGGGGAGGGACGACTGCAGACAGCAGCGCTCGCGCGCTTTCACTCGCACATAGAACACACGAAGCGCGGGGCAATGGCATCGATTTGGACTTTATACGGGACATCACGGCGACGGCGAGACATGAGCCAGGAGTGTCCGTGTAGTTGTTATAGCAACAAAAGCTGAGCGCACGGGTGCAACCGTAAATGACGAAATCCGGATCAATCGGTGCCTGCGCCTACCAAAACAGCACAAATTTACCCTTTAAATAAGCAGACTGAACACTATACGACATTATTCAGGATATTCCGAGATCTCGCACTCCCGAAATTTCTTGCACCAAAATGGAATGGCAGAGTGACTGTACTCAATGTATGTGACTGCAGTTAAACCTGCTTATAACGAACCTTCATATAACGAAGTTTTTATTCCCCGCCGTCGCTCCATAGAAGCATATTTATTTGCGACCTCTGTGTAACAAGGTAACAGTGGGAGACAACAGTGATACAACAAATTTTCCCCACGGACAATCGAGAAGTTTCGCCTCGCATTGGCATTTTGGTACGAGCATGCATCTTGAAGCGGCGGCGGCGGGCACAGATGCCTGTGCGCGCGCGCTTATTTTCAGTGGGTAGAATCGGTGTTTTCGACTTTGACCAGGGAACAATTGAGTTTAGCTGCCGGGCGCACGAACATCCCCTTTGCTCGCTGGACAGGCGCCGTTTGCGAAAAGAGTGCGCTTATCAAACACACCGAAACGCTGGGCCACTTGTTCGCACTCATATCTGTACCCGTGATTACGCTTCGTGCCTTGTTTTAGGGGCGAAGCTCCTTATAGCGGCACCCGTTCGTCCCCCGTAGTATGTAACAAGTATAACATTTTGACCTCCAAGGTGGTGCCGGTGAGAGACTTCTTCTGTGCGTTGTTGAACAATAAAAAATAGTGCTCAATGTACATGTCAATGGCTGCTGATGGGGAATGAGAGACAGGAGCATTTGGCTTTTAGTTAACGCGCAAGCTGCGATCACCATTAGCAGCCATTGGCATGTACATTGAGCACTATCTGACAAGAAAGGGTTGCTACGTCATACTCGCTGGGTGTAACCTCCTTAGCTTTCGAAAGGTTTAGCGAGCGTTGAGCCGCAGCGCCATGAATACAATGAACTTGTATATACCATGAATGAACTCGAGGTGGTTAAAAATGGGAAGTAGATACGAAGCGCAAGCCGTAAGAAAGTAAAAGCCGAATTCTCCGCCGCTTATTTCCCATTAGCAGCCATTGGCATGTACATTGAGCACTATCTGACTGAAAAAGTTTGCTACGTCATACTCGCTGAGCGTAACCTCCTTGGTTTTCGAAAGGTTTAGCGAGCGTTCGGCCGCAGTGCCATGAATACAGTGAACTAGTATATACCATGAACTCGAGGTGGTTAAAGGTGGGAAGTAAACCCAAAGCGCAAGCCGTAAGAAAGTGTGCATGTGCCACTTCCCGTTTAGTCCTTGAAATGTCCGCTGGATGGCGGTGCTTCTATATGGAGAATATATGATGAAAGATGCGAGATGGTGGTACTTGGAGTGCTGAATAGATGGACGAACGGACACATAGACAGATGCATGGATGGACGCATGAACGGACGCAGGGGCGGCTGCATGGACGAACGCAGGGACGGACGCACGAACAGACGCACGCACGGACGGGCTGATGGACGCATGGACGGTCACACTGACGGACGCGTGGACGGGCGGAAGCAAGAACGAATGGACGGACGAATTCTACGCCCCACTCTCCATCATTCACTCCGTGGATATGCAGCCATTTTTTTTGTTTAAACAGCGCTTTAAGTGTCGAGCCGTAAACGTTGTTAGTTCCATCTCGCCCTTTGTATGTTGTTTTCTTGCGTCATTTGTGCGCGAGCAGCGCGCTGCACGTTTGGGTGTATACTTGCCGTTCTCAGCGTTACATTCGAGAATTGTTGTAGCGCATTCATTGCTTCGCCCTTGCGGCGAAACTCCGACTTTCTTTAATTACGGACAACCGTGTCTTCACCACCGAGGGGATGCCAGATTAGGCGCCGATGGAAACTCTTCCGAGACCACGGTGACGACGGATCTTCGGAGGTCTTCGTCACGCGCTTCCATCTTGCGCCGCGCCACGAGTTCGCAGGCCGGTAACTTTTGCGATTTGCCCTTTAGTTTTGGCAACAACACGACGGCGCATTGAACGCAATGTAACGAACGCAATAGCAAAAAAAAAATGTAATGCTATGAGAAGTAAGGCTGGCAGCTAAATCTTTTGGATCCGATATCGCGCAACTCCTACAAAACGCTGGTGTGAGCAAATACGGCCGCTCCAGGGAGAAGTGCTCTTTTCACACAGTCCCTTCGCGTTGAAACCGCACTGATACTCGCCGAGATATCAAGCGCGCCAGCGATCACGACCGTCCTTAGAATCGTTCGTTATTGCTGCTCGAGCGATTCCCCTCACCGCGTTGTTTCATGCTCTTTCAAGACGGGTGGTTTACTTTCTGTATGAACATTCGACGGTAGCTTTAACACGCGGGAGATGTTATGCAATTTGCAGGCGATAGGGATGGGCCGACTTATTTGATCTCTGCTTCAGCAGCGCTCGCCGCTCGTGAAATTTAGGATGCGCGAGGGCATGTTATCAATTTGCACTTGTTACAGAACATGGCGGCGACGGCGAAACCCCACCGAGAGTGTCCATATAATTGCTTTCGCGATATTAATGCAGTTTTTTACTGTAAAATAAGTGTTTTGGGTTAGCTCTGCATTAATTCCCCCTTTTGTTTAATTTGCGCTTTTATTCTCAGAATTTTCGTACCAAACCTGCATATAACAAAATCTTCTTTATAACGATGTTTTCCGGCAATTTATCAATTCCGTTATAACCAGATTTAACTGTACTCCTTTGAGAAGTACAACTATTCCTACAACAATTTCCAGGCCTGCACAGAACATACAGCACAGTCACTGAAAAAGCGGAAAGAGCATCCTTTCTAATGCCCATTTTAAACTCTCTTCAGCCAACTAATACAGATACCTGCACCTGGCAGGTGTCCACTACATAACAAATCAATTTTTGGCCAATAGAGAAGCACCCACTATGCCTTTACTCATCATGCTGCGGAGATGACTGGGGCCCACCAAGATGCAATAGTTAAAACCGCGACTCATGTGGATGCACGAGCGGGGCAATTTTACATCGCATTCCCAGGATGAGTGGCACATCTAAACTGCAGCTTGAAAACACAAAACCTGACAGAAGGCACTTGTTAAGCTATGTCAGTAACCCTGTATATGGCTTAAGACGAAAAGACAGGAAAGCTTTAACCAATAAATAAAATAGTAAATTATAAATCACAAACTTACCTCATAAGATAATAAATGGAAAAATATATCAAATCTGGTCCCTCACAGCTTATGTTTCACACAGTAAACTTGCTTTGAATACTCTAAATATGATGCTACCTTCACTAGCAAGAGTATTTCCTGCAACTTGGAAAAGTTGTGAGAAGGACAAACCATGCAAAGTATCTGTTGACTACGCTGCAATCCCTTTTATATCAACATGATCAGCTATTTGCAACAAAGGCTCAGAAACACATCTTTACAGAAACATGATGCACATTTTTTCAAATAGGTTAGTTTATTTTTCACATTGTACATAATCTACGCGTACAGACTGAACACTCCAGACAACTGTGACCAGCACCAAAAAATTTTGCAAAAGGCTGGAGCACAGCCACATATTTACAGACTGAAAAGCTATGGCTGTTGCACTTGCAAGGCAGTGTACACATATACATACAGCTACCCCCAGACGACAAGCGCACCAAATATTGCACAAAATATGATCGCTAAAAGGTTTCGACATTTCAGATACCTGTGCAAAAGACTCATATGTACAAAATACAGAAGCTTTCCAAAATGAGATAGTAACAAGCATGAAAAGAGAGGAGAGACTTGCTGTACAAAAAGTGCATAAGAAGAAACGGAGTGCCAGAGGCATGCTCAGGGTACTGATTACAGATATGACTATATGAAACTCAATTAGACTCACCTCACAAGGAATTAGAATCCTTGTTGCCATGCCGCATTAGAACCAAGAGCTTAAGGTTGAATATAGGTATAAAAACTTTCCAGAAACACAGCTTTTCGATGCAGCCAGAACGGAATGAACCTTCAAAGGCACTATGGGAGCTATAACACAAAAGCAACAACTATGTGCAATGGCAAGTCCAACATGCCGCTAAACATACTGTCCAAGAATGGTTCCAACAGCAGAGTTTTTGCATGTCTTCATATCTTTCTAATTCATCAGCCATCAAGCAAAAAATGAATCTGCAAAAACACAAACAATTATTTGCAATAGTGCAAGTTTTACGTTTCTGCATAATGAAATTCTCTCCCATTTCTCAATCTACTCGAAGCGATGTACATTTGAACCTAAACACTATGCCAGGTGGAAATATAAAAGCAAACGAAAGATGTCTTTTGCAATAACAGTGTGTAATAAACATTTGTTTGTAGGAGTCATTATATATAATAATGGCATCAAACGCTACTTCATTATGACATGGTTTGACTGTTTCTGATTCCAAGACCACGGCTAATCAAATATGTAAAGAATTAAATAGCTAAACCTTCATCTCTTGAAACAACTCATTTAATGGCTTGTACTTGTACTGCTATAACGAAGCATTTGTACTGCTATAACAAAGCAACACCTCATTGGGCTCTCATGCCATAAACTGAAGCATACTATGTGCATAGCCCATTCCAAGCAAAAGATTAGGCATCAACACAGAAATGTGAGAAAAGCTGTTATAATGGCGAGACCATGATAGCTATTCATATGGAAGACAATGCACCAAATTTAACACTACCAGGGCACAACATATGCCAGGTGTGCAATGACGCAAGGTATCTTCGTGCACAAAGCCAGACACACTCTCACACCATCAAAAGCAAGTACTATCGGAATGTGCAATGTAACTCGGGAAATTGCACAAAAACTGCCCTGTGCTACGACACCCGCATTATAGTTGCAAAAGCTTCTACACCAAAGAATGACTAAATGTATCCTTTGTTGCAACACCCAACAGGTATTCTTTTTTGCATTTAAGATCCAAATCAGAGAAAACACATGAATCTAAATACCACAATCTCACCGGTACAAGGTAAAAAGAATGTATCGTGTTGTTCTCTGATGAATTTCCTCAGCAGGATCCTAGCAAGAGATACTTTTAACGATAAACAGAAACACAATCAGCTATAAAAGTCTAGTGGGCACGCAATTTTGTAAAAATGCTGCATTTCCATGTAGCCTTTTCTGAGTTCATTTTCTTCATTTTCAATCTGTAGTAGCTTTTGAAATGTACACTGCTATCCAATAAATCATAAAAATAAAGCTGCAGTATGCCAGCATTTCTGGGGTCATGTCTTTTCCATTGTCCCATGTTTGCATGCCCCATCTTTCTTGAACATCGATAAATCGGTCTGTGTAGCCTTTTCAAGCTCAGTGTTTCAGTCATTGGTGTATTTCGACATGGACACTGCTATCCAATAGATCAGTTCGCATAGCCTCTTTGATGTTTGAATATGTAGTGGCTTTCGAAATGTACCCCCCGATTCAATAAATCGGAAATGGCACACTGTAGCAAACCATACATTTATGCTTGTCATGCAGTCTGTGTCCCATGAACATTTGTAGGTTACTGTGTACAACATCTATATCATGTAAGCTTCTAGGTGCCCAGAAAAGAAACGTACTAGGGACTGTATACAGGCCCCCTATTTTCAATTTAAAAACACACACAAACCACACTGCCACCAATAGAGGGGCAGCTCTGAAACACGCAGTATACTGTTGTCGTCAACTGCACATGCTACGTCGAGTCATTGCCAGAGCCCTTTCCCCGATTTTGCCAACAGTGTTCAAACTTCTTAACCCTAACAAAAAAAAAGTTCTATACTAACAAGAGCAGACAAGTTTACAAAGCCTATTTACAAAAACCATTCACACTATGTATATGATTACTGTTTTGATTATGGCCTGTCAAAACAGAGGCGTGAAGAGCAGTTCAGAGAGCAGGCCCCGAGAGGTCGCCAGCTTGCCTCAGTTTGTGCAACTCTTGAGAAATCACCTCCAAGTCCTGCGATAGAGACAGAGTATGAAACAACCATATTTCGTGAAACGCGCTTGCATCAAAGGCCCCAGTAGTATTGCCTAAGCAAGCACACTGGGCCAAGATGATTAGGTTTCGCTGACACTTTCGTCGCTTTCGTATACATGACTGAAAATTATAATTTTGGATGTCTCTCTGGCTACATTTTCAGTATTTGAAGTCTTTGAATTATATAAAACAAATGAAACACGCATTTTCCAGCCCATACCATGTCTCAAAAGGTGGTTTCCCTGCAGTGCCGCTCAAGCAACCCCAAATACAGAATCAACAGGTACATAGGGTAACACTCAGGAGCTGCTACACAAATTCAAGGGGCCCTGCAACACTTTTTCAAAGTAGTCAGAAAACGCTGCCCATCGGTCATCTATGCTTTCGAGAACACGTGAACCAAAGATTTTAGTGTAGCACATGGCCCGAAATTTACAATTCATTTGCAAAGTCAGTTAGAAATTATTCCAAATGACGCCATGTATCTAAATGAACACGCCTTATACACAAATTCACATTCACTGGCTGAATAAGGCATCGTGAGCTACATAGTTACTAACGCCACTGTGGCACGCCACTATGCGCCTGCTCGCACACTCGCAATCTCACTGAAAGTAAGCGAAACGCAAGTTCTTTCGTCCATGCCATCCCTCCCTGCTTAACTTCGAGAGCACTCGTCGAGACGAGAGAAGAGAGAAGACAATTACAGCATGTGACAAATCTCGCAACTCCCTCATACTAGACGAACTCCAAAAATTTTTGGAGTGGTCGATTCGTGAGGTAATAGACTCCTTTAACCCATATACCATATTTACTGGCATGATTTGCGCACTTTTTTTGGACAATTTGGGGTCCTGAGATGGGGGTGCGCAAATTACGCGATATCGCGAGCGCATACGAAATATTGTGTCACAGCCCCAATGCGCACAGTATATACATTTATAAAAAAGAGAATAAATTGGACCCCCAAACGAAGTGTAGTTGTTAATTTTCGAAGAAATAGCGCGTACTTTGACCAATCATATTTGGTCATGCGGGATCTAGAAGGAATCAGTGATCGCGAAATCCGATCGAGAATCATCATCGCGGCCGTTGCCACTGCCCTTTCGTAGTGCATCGTCCTCGGTTCCATCGGACACGTTCGAACGCCCCATTTTCTTGAAGCTCTTTCGACAATGCTGGGAGAAACTAGGTCCCACGACACGGCGATAGCTACTAAACATCCGCACATGATTGAAAAGGCCTCCTTCAACGGCAGCAAACTTACATTAGCAAGTGTGCACTCTTTTGCTTTGTTGCATACCGATTGCTCTGGTTATCACGACGAAGTACGTCTCCTTGAAATGCTTTGCGGCGACACTCTTCTCATTTTCTTCAGCAAAATTTACAACAGCGAGTTTCAGTTTCGCCGTATACATATATAATTACTGTAGCACATCGCAAGGGAACTGACAAAACGCTTCAGCCGGATGGCGAAACCTCAACTTCCGAAATCGACCAAGCATGCGTTGCAGCGTGGATGCAGAGAACGAGGGTAACAGTTGGCGCAACAGGCCTTCGCACACCTCCGTCAGAAAGTCGTCCGCAAAAACATTTATTATCAAGGTGGTAGAGATTGGGAGATATGGGGAGGCAGACGCTCGAGGAGTTCCCGCGATCCGTCAACAGGTTTGTGTTCGGATGTGGTATTCTAGGAACCGTAGTTCAGGTGAAGTCCTCGGAAAAAGGGATTTCGCACTCGCAGCCTGTTTGTTGAGCTGCACTGACTCGACTGAAGCATCTAAAGATCCAAAGGTGCGCGCACCAGCGAGCTGGCTCTGGCGGGTCGAAGAGCGCGAAATATGCGAGTAAATATTTTTTTTTTTTCGTAAAGCTGGCAAAATATTAGGGGTGCACAAATTATGCGAGGGAGCAAATTATGCACATAAATACGGTGTGCCCAAACTTAGGAAAACCAACAAAACTAATTACTGTTTCTACAACCTCATAAAACAAAATAAGGCTTTTATTTAAAAAAAAAAACTCTTTCGAACAATGGTTTTGGAGCCATCCTATATGTAGGACACCAATGTTTGACACACCATGAACAAAAAACATTATCGCCTATCACTGTCATACGAAAGTTGCTGCACATCCAATAACTGATGAACAGTCGACAAAAATATCAGTAGCATCGAGAACAATTTGACTCTATATTACTTATATATTTTTTTTTCACCGTATGGCACCCGGCTACATGCACGCGAATTAGCCATTTTGTTAGCCACTGCTATTTGTAGCCCAGCGATCAGCTAGAGCTGCATGTGACAAAGACAGGGCATCATAAACACACTTTAGGGGCTGCTACCATTTTTACAGAAAAAACATTCGAGTTACATTGAAAAGTTTCAACATCCTACATGTAGGACACTAAGCATATATGGGTTAATGAAGCCATTCAGTTGTTACTCGGAAAGTACTGCAGGGTCTCTTTCAAGCAAGTCTCTCTGGATTTCATATGGCTGCACAGCACTCCCAGGCATTTGCATAGCAGATAGAGGTCCAAGCACATGGGGGTGTCAGTGCTATGCAACCCACATTGTTGCATAGTAATATCTAGTGGCTGCAAGTGGTTGCGCTCCTAGATTCTATACAGTAGACTCTGTTAAATGAAACATAAAGGGAGCAAGAAAATATCTTCCATTAAACGGTAGCTCCCTTTACTGAGTCTAGTGTTGCAGCATTCAGGGAGGAGACCAATCGTACTAGAGTGGTTGTTCGGTCTACGCAACAATTCTGTTCCGCTTGCTAAGAGTCTATCCTAGCCTCATAGCACTCACAAGCGTGCAAAATCAGAGTTGTCATTGAAGCAGCAGGAACCTGTAAACTGCAGTTTATGGGAGGGGAAGAACTGCATGAATTAATGCAGTGATCCATTTTATTACACCAGTCCCGATGCCAGTTTTGTGACACATTACCCACCCACCTTTTGCAAGTGCATGTTTTTGGTGAGCGTCTCCTCAAGCATTCGCTGCATCCGTCGGTTGATTTCCTTGAGGTTCTCATCTCCTTTGTCCTTGATAAAGTCCACTAGTCGCTTCACGGTCAGCTTCTCGGTGGAAGAAGGGTGGTGGGTGCCCGAGCACGGCTCTGCAACAGTGGGCACAAAGAGAAACATGATTTAATAATAAAATTAAAAGGAGTGCTGACGAGATATTTCTAGACTTGTGCAAATAGTGAATTTTGGGTTTGAAGCAAATTAGAAGTGAACAGCGACTTTAGTCAAATAATTTTGAGTGGAATTCAAAGAGGAGATACCACAAATTATAAAAAAATGGGCATATTTGTCATGACATAACTAACCTACACAATATATTTAAAAAATTGAAACAAGGCCTGTGCAAATTCCACTCTTTTTTTTATTCAAAGGAACTGGAAACAGGTTTACGTAGTAGCAGAATTTGACTTTCGTTAGATTGTAAGAGATAACCTGTAAAACATGTTTCGTTGTAAAATTTACTATATATATATCATGAGAGCCAGTATAATATGCTTTTAAATTTAAAAAAAAAGATGAATACATGTGAGGTTAGTGTGTTCGATTATCCTTGAAGTGGGGCTTCGCGACAGTGCGAATTCTTTTAGATGCGAAGCAGTTCTTTGACTAGCCTGTGTAACGCTGTCCCTCCGTAGACACCCACTGCACATGCTCGGGTCTCGTGCCGGACGAGAAAGACATTCCAAAAACTGTCGCTACCTACCCCTCTCACACCTTGTAAGCCCTATGAAGGCAAAGTCTGCTAGTAAGAAACTTACTGCTCGCACTGCACAACCATTCACTGGCCACCCCATATATGTAGGCATTGGATTGCGCGTTCGGAATTCACTCAAGGGCGCCTTTACTTGGCTTTGATTTGATGAGTGCCAATCAACGTCACGACTAGTGTAAGCATTAGCGCATGCTGCTTCGCATCTACACATGATTCCCTTAAGCGAGAGATGGCAAAACTGTTTCCCTTTTTTTTGGGGGGGGGGGGGGGGGGGTATATGTATTCATGGTTTGGCACATTTTCACTACCGGGAAACCCCCTTTACAGTGGATCACATCCAAATTAATGGGGCCCTGCAACACTTTTTGAGCATGGTCAAAAAACGCTGCCGATCAGTAGTAGAGGTTCCCGACAACATGCAAGCCAAATATTATAGTGCAGCAAGTGGGCTGGAATTCACAATAATTTATCAAAGCCAGCTAAAAAGTGCTTTTTCTTCTCTCGACAAATCACGCAATATACCGAAAAATCACACGTAGCAAGCCAATCTGTCAGCCATTGGCTGATTTGAACATGGCACGCTCGCTCATTACAGAGATCACAGCAGGAGGCTGCTACTCGTCCATGCGTGCGTGCACGATCTCACTAAAAAAGTTATGCATTCGAAGAAAAAAAATTAAAAAGTGCTCAAGTGCTCACAAGACGTGCATGACCTTTTTCTATGGCCCTGCGACCCCTCCCTGCTTAGCTTCTAGCGCTTTCGTTGGGACGAGAGAAAAGATAACGCAATTGCAGCATGCGACAAACCTTTGTAACTCCACTCGCACTGGACGGATTCTTAAAACTTTTGTGGCATTAAATTTGTGAGGCAATAAGCTCTTCCAGTGAATTCATTCCATGGTTACTTGAAAAAGTGTTTCAGGGCCCCTTTCACATGCATTTAGACAAGTGTTTCCACAGCTTGGCACTCCTTTACTGCAGTGAAACCACCTTTACAAAACTTATATGCAGCCTAATATACGCTTTATTCGTTCATTTCAAATACTTTAAAAATTTCAACAATGTAAATTCTAACCAAGACAAATTCAAATATAGTATTCATTCTAATATTTAAAGAGTCTAAATATTTGAGTTTTTTTTTTTGTGAGTGTGCGTGTGCCAGTGAAACGAGGTTCTGCGATTGAACGGAATGGAATGAAGAAACTTTATTTGAATGAAATGAAAAACTGCGACTTGACCTACGAAACAAATACAAGCATAAAAACACCTGAGATAACTCAATTCAATAGCTTTCTAACAGTGTCCACCTTGGTGGTACAGTGGCATACGGTGCTCCGCTGCAGACTTGAAAATGCAAGTTTCGATCACAGCAATGGCAGTTGCATTTTAACGAAGGTAAAATGACATGCACTGAGAAATGATATTGCAGGTTAATGAAAATCATTTGGCCAATTTTTCAGAGCTTTCCACTGTGGTTGCATGGTTCGCTTATGACTTTGAGACGTAACACCCCAGACATCGTTATTATTTCTGCAGTAATTTTCGGCTCCCGCGTTTGTTTATAATATGTAACTACATCATAACACCAACAACACATTTTCAAGACTATCCAAGAGATAGCAACACCTTACCGCATTCAACTAACTATAAACAAGCCAACAAGAAACTCGAAGCACTCGTATAGAACGGACATATTACATGAGTGGTATATAGTCTCTTATCCACCTAGAGTAGGCGAAATAAAAATACAGTCGCCGACCGATTTTCCGGACTCCAAAAATTCGGACTTGTTGGATATTCCGGACTTTATAAATGCACCGTCAGGGATCCCATAGAGCTAATGCATTGTTTCGACCGATTTTTCGGGCGAATTTGCCCCTGAAATTTCGATTTTTCGGACTAAATCGCTCGTTTTATGCCACGCCCCAAGCCATTGTGAACGCTGCCATGTTGGATTTTCCGTCGGCTTGGCTAAGCTTGGTCTTCAGATGCCTTTCCTGCCTCCGAGATTGGAATGCTCATGCCATATTTTAAGTTTCGGAGGCCGTGTTTGCTTTTTAAAAGACGCGGTGATGGATGCCGTTTTTTCGTCTTCGGTCAGCACTATCGTCATCACATCGCACGGGGAGGAGGCGAAAGAAGGATTCTTTTATTGCCGTTGCAGCTTTTTTCAGTCGCCATTCTGCACGTGTTGTGTCGCGTAGCGTCGAGACGTTGTGTGCTTCGCAGCGGCTATCTGCGGCATCGAATTTTGTGTTCTCGGTGCCATGGCTCCGCTATCTGTGCCATCGCGGGAGCCAGGTGGTGTGAAGAAGCGCGGGAAGTATACGACCCTGACGATGGAAAAGAAAGCTGCCATAATCAAGCTAATGGAGAGTGGACGTTCGCAGCTAGATGTCGCCGGATGGCGGTCGGCGGCGGAGATCGCCAACGCGGTGACAATTTTGTCAAGCGTTTACGGCGACGATGTCACCTTGGCGCAAATACGGGCAAACCAAATTGCCTTAAAGCGTAGTTTGAGGCAAGGCAGCATCAAGGACTTTTTTCAACCTGCCTGATGCAATAAACTTCAAATTTTTGGCGAAAACGAATTTTTCGGACTGTTCGATTTTTCGTACTTTTTTTCGGTCCCCGCCAGGTCCGAAAAATCGGTCGGCGACTGTACAGGCAGCCTATATACCTGCTTTAGATATCGCAGTTTTCCTGAAAATTGTCGTTGCAGTTGATATGCCAGTCTTTGAAAAAGCCCTGTGGTCGCACTACTGAAACTGAAGCCCAAAGTGGTGTTGCGCCACAGCTAGGCTACTTCTGTAGACATATGGTAAAATATTCCCACATTGAAGCGCAGGAATTCAGGACTAAGTAACAACATAACTTAGTTTCCAGCGTCTGCAGTTCGCATCATAGCGGCATAATTTTGACACAAACACTAGCTTTCGGAGCCATATTTAGCGCAACGTAATGCGGTTATCATGGGCATGTGCTCATAGAAGTTGTTACACTAAACAAAACAATGTCGTGTTTTATTCATTGAATACTGTATATATGTTTTCAGGCATAGCTAACTAGAATAAAAAGTAAAAAAGACAAGGTAAAAAACGACAAGATGCAGCGATAATTGAATTACATGCAGTGCTACTGTATATGCATGGCTACTTTTTCTCCACAGCTTTCACACTGCATAACCACAGGACGTTGTCCCAGAATGTAGCTTGCCCTCACCATATTTGCTGTCCATGCAGTAGTACTGAATGATGGCTGTCTTGTTGACCAGGTCATCAGCCATGGAGGAATTGCTCACTTCGAGGTGGTTTATCTGGAGAAAAAACAAACTGTATATACTTAACCATCCAAGTGAACAGTGAAAAACAACATGTACGAAATAGTACTGACAAATATGATCATAGACGTAAACCTACTTCGGTGGCAAAAACCTTCCAGCAATTGTTTTATGCCAGTAGATGTCTTACATACATAAAAAAATGACCAATGATGGCATGCAATACAATGTTATGAGGTGCATGAGCAAACGGAGACGTGTCACTCGCATGTAGGCAATGTGCAAGAACGCTGTGCTGTGGCAGCAGCCCTGAAGGACGACAGAGCGTAGGCTACTACTAGATGGTAAGCTGCTAATAGATTGAGGTTGAAAGACCGCACAGTCAGCAAATAAATCTGAACAGACGGCAGCAGGAAGTTCACCCGATGCCTTCTCTTGAGATGGAGTGCGATAAGCCAAAAATGGACATTTTTGATGCGAGATAATGTGCCTGGCCACTGCTGCTGTCTTCTAACAATACCAAGCGATACAGTGTACATACTGACATACAATGCTATTGTACTGCTGCATTTTTCTTGACACAAACTGCTAGCTCTAATCCACACAGATGCTCTCTTCCCACTTTTTAACACTGACTTTTTTTTTCCCTTTCACCACTTATTGTACTGTCCTTGCAAGTATTCTTGAGAGTCCTTATTAAACTACACATTCCTGACCCACAAACTTCAGACAGAATGTATTTCAAAAGGTCGCCCAGAAGATTGCCCAGGTGAATAAATGTGTGAAAAAGAGTGCAACCGAGGAAGAGGTAGTACATGGAAGAAGGCCGAAGAAAAAATTCCTAAGCGCACTACTACAGGCTTACATGGGGTTCCCGTCAGCTTTATCAACGAACTAGGACACAGCCCTAAAGAGGCACTGCTGAAAGACGTAGAATAGTGCTTACAGGAGAACAAAATACCAGACAGTTAACAGAAAAGTAGAATGAACTTAATCCATAAAGGCAAGGGAGCAAAAAAGTACACTTCTTCCTGCTAAAGAAAACCATGTGTAGATGCGAAACAGTGGGCGCTATCGCTTGCACTGGCAACGACGTTGACGCTGGCGCTCATCACGGCATTGCGCAGGAGAGAAACCCAGGGAAGCGCAAAGCACACAGTGATGAACCAGTGTTTCTTACTAGAACATGCCAATCACTGTTAATGGGCAATGAGATAGAAGACTCTGATTTGACACAGAGACCCGCTGTCCGCTTTTAATGAGCACACTGCGAATTTTTATTGGTCAACAACGCAACGCCCAGGAGAAATCTCAAACCGTCACTACCTCAAAGGCCAAGATCCAGTGCCTAAATATACAGGGTGGCGAGTCAGCGGTTGTGCAGTGCAAGTAGTAGTTTTTTTTTTGATCAAGGAACTAGCTAGCAGGCGAAAAAGGAAGGGGGCGTAGGAGAAGAGAGGGGATACGTATGCACAATGGGGGTGTAAACACTTCAGGGAGAAATGCCAGAGAAGAGGGGGGAGCGAGCTTAAGTTAGCAGACACTTTCTTCATCGGCGTTGCGAGGCGAGAGGGGAGGAGAGGACGCGCAAGTGGAGTGAGGGTGGTCATGCCGCAAACCGGATGGAGCTCGACCTTAAGTTGCTTCGCATCTAATAAGGTCCAACAATTTAGACAGACACTTCCAAAACCCAATTTATAAATCGTCTGCCAGCTGAAACCATAACTGCTAGCCTGAGCCAGTCAGACTTCGCATCCCCATTCCCACCGAAGTATCATTTGCCTCTTACCCCTTTCTGGACACATGCCCCACCATGGAGGTCTACTGGCTAAGGTACTCGGCTGCTAACCCGCTGGTTGCGGGATCGAATCCCAGCTGCGGTGGCTGCATTTTCGATGGAGACGAAAATGCTATAGGCCCATGTGCTAAGATTTCAGTGCACGTTAAAGAGCCCCAGGTGGTCAAAATTTCCGGAGCCCTCCACTATGGAGTCTCTCATAATCGTATGGTGGTTTCGGGATTAAACCCCACATATCAATCAAATCAATCCTTTTTCTGATCAGTTTGGGGAACCGTGCTATGGACCCACCACTTTCGCGCGGGAGCATAGGACGTCGCCAAGCAGTTTCCTCTGGGCTCTATCATTAACAGTAATTCAGAAGTCACTGTCCTGTTGTGCCTCAAAGGGGCTTTGCAAAACTTTTTGAGCATGATCAGAAAATACTGTTGATCTATGGTCGAGGCTCTTCAGAATACGTCAGCTGAACATTATAGCACAACACGTGGTCTGAAATTCACAACTACATTATTGGCCAATTTGAGCATCGTGAGCTGCGAAGTTAACATGTCCGCCATGATGTGCAGACAAGCTATAATTGAAAGAAAGATGTGCATTTGAAGAAAAAATGAAAAGAAGGTGCTCAAGGTCATGACCCAATCTGACAAAGAGACGCATCTTCCTGCTCCCTCATAACCTCCCTGCCGACATAGCTTTGAACAAAAGAAGGGGAAAAGCATTTGAAGCAAGCAAAAAATCCCCTTAACTCCACTCGTACTAAACGAACCCTAAAAATGTTTGCGACAGTCGATTGACGAGACAATGAGCTCTTTCAACGAAGCCATCTGAGGTATACTTGGAGAAGTTTTGCAGGGCCCCCTTGAGATTTCAACACCAACCCTCTGAGATGTAGGTGCAGCAGTGTAAGCATGCACGAACCTTCTCCTCCAAGATCCACTTCTCTTCCTGCAGGGCTGCAAGACGACTGACCAGGTCATTGTTCTCCTGTTCCAGCAGTCCAGGGGATGCCTTGTTGGGAGGTGGGGGAGCCTAGGGCCGAATACAAATGAATGTGCTTAAGCTATCTGCAATATACGCACCCACAAGATAGGCCATCATAGTAAAGCATGCCACCTCGTACTCTTGTTCACTAGCCTCCATTCCTCTATTCCCATTTCACTACTCTCGTCTTTTTACATGACTCTTTCCTTATGCAAAGCAACCCACAAAATTTTTCTATCTTGACTGTTTTCCTCATTTCGTGCTCCCTTCACTGTTAGTGCCTCTCGACTATAGTACTAAGTACCTAAGTGCTTTGGATGGACCTGTGCTGCCATCTCATTAACATGAACAGAGAAGCACTTAACTCAGCCATATAAACTGCTTGAAAGCCAACAAACTATTTTAGCTCATTAAAGCTTTAAAAGTGCCTTCTTTAGAGTGCGTTTTCAGATGGCATTTTGAAAGAATTTACAAGCGGACAATTCTAAAGGAATCTCTGCACACCTAGCTGGTCTAAGATTCCAAATCTACTGTTCATACAAAGTACTGAAAATTGGCTCTACCTGCAGTGATGTTGAAAAAAAAAAATGCCACTCCATGCATGCCTGTGCATGGTTAGCCTTTCATTACTTGCACACTACTCAAAAGCTCCGAAAAGCTTGTGTAAGCTTTCCTGCTTTGCCTCAAAGATTAGTTGTGCCAGAAGTTAGAAGGGCACAATAAACTGCAGCCATAGCTAAAAAACACTCGTGTAATTAGTGACCTTGTTTGACCTAACAAACAAGCGTTATGCTAGAGAATTCCGCTTTGACAGTACAACCAACCTGCTCTCCATTCAATGACAACGCTCCATTGCTGTTATTGTTAGTGCTGTCCTTGGAGTTCTCATTGTTGGCAGACACGTAGCTCCAGGAGCCAATGCTACTCGAGTCACCTCGTTGACGCTCCTCACAGCTGATTGGCTGGAACAGGTCGTCTGAGCAGAAACCAACCAACAAAGATGGCCCTCGTAAAGGCTGACAGATACCCCGGGAAACGCCACAGCTACTGATCTTCTGAACCCTAGATGTGCTGTCGAGTACCAGAGCACGGGCTTGACACCTGGCTAGGGGTCCTGCTATGATGGAGCTAACAATGCAAAGGAAAGCTTACACGCTATAATTTAGAAGCAGATTAGAGAACCTTGGTCTGTGAACATAAAAAAAACCTAAGCAACACACTGATCCTCTGAACCCTAGAAGATGTGCTGTCGAGTACCAGAGCACGGGCTTAACTCCTGGCTAGGGGTCCTGTTCTGATGAAGCTAACAATGCAAAAGGAAGCTTACATGCTGTAATTTAGAAGCAGATTAGAGAACCCCGGTCTGTGAACATAAAAAAAAATCTAAGCAACACTACCTACAATAGAGCATGGTGTGTGTGATATCACCACTGTCTGAATCGCACAGGTAGCAGAGGTGATTTGACAAGTGATTCCAAAGGTGGTTCAGGACGCCTTGATATGCCACACTCACTTATTTCGCACACATGAAACAATGACAAGCTTCTAGATTAATACTCTATCAATCTAACTGCGCATTTTTTCATTAATGGACCCGTGAGGTGTAGAGATGCCTGTTGCGCCTACGAAAGCTCAACGCCAAACTTACCAGATCGTCCAAGGTTAGAATCATTGAGGATTTCCTGCAGCCTTTCTTGAAGCTTGTCGGCCCGCTTCCTCTCTGTCTGAAGCTGCCTTTTCAGCTCCTTGACCTGAGATCGAAGCCCAGAGATAACGTGAGCAAACAACGACAGGACATCGTTACTACCACATACTCACCATTGACAGGCCCTTCTTGTCTTGAATTTTGCGCTCCTCCACACTGTCTTTTATTTCCTGCTTCAGCCTCTTCACTTCTTCCTCAAACTCACACTTCTGGCTGTTGGAGATCTCCAGCTGTATCGTCAGGTCCTGGCAACACCAAAGTTCACAAGCAGTTCTTATGAAAGCGCTCAGCAACTAGATAAAAAAAAAAATGACTTAAGGATAGGACATGACTGCACTATTTAAAGTGTTTCTAACAGAATAATAGATCCTGATATGAAAAGCTAAAAAAAATACATTTTCATCATTGAGGAGCTATGTAAGCATACAATGACACAAGATATGAGGAACTAGCAACACAGACAAAGCCACCCATTCCTTCTACTCGTCTCAATATCATCTTTATATTTTAATTAATTTTTATTAATTACTAGATAATTAATACCAGCTAGTTCAACCTTCTGCGATTCTAATCATTTGTGTGTTTTACACACTTTCCATACTCTGCATACATCTGCAGAGCTGAAATAGCAACCACAAAACTTGCCTGGTACTTTTACTACGATAAACCACCCTGTGTTTCTTTGGTTCACGTTTTCTTTAAGGTTTACTGAGAATGACACAGGTGTTTTGAAAGCCTCAAAAAAATACATCAGCCCTCAAGATGCACATAATGGTTCAAAAATTACTTGACATCGCTTTGCTTTCGTATGCGGTAACTCTGTCCACTTCACAGTAATCATTGCAGCATTGCACTCAACTTGTGACACTTTTCTTAGGCAGCTTTCACCTACAATCACTAGCGAAGACGACGCCATATCCGCAGTATGACAAGAAAATTTTGTATAATTGATAACACTGCAAAATGTAGCAAAGTTAGAAAGTTGGACGAGAGTATGACTCATAAAAGAGACAACTGAAAACCACCCGTTCACCACAAAGAGCAGCAACAAAATGCATACAGATTTCTCAAAAGCTTCGTACTTGAAGGAAAAGTCACCCTGGTCTGGCAATCAAACCCAAGACAAGTACGTTTCCTTTTGATCCACGAGCCAGGATAAACTTTTTATTAACTTTTTTAGAAAGTTTTAATTCCTTGAAAATCATTTCTTTAAGGTTTCGTGCTACAAACATGTGGTAGTCAATTATCAGTTTCATAGCTTTTCTGGCGCCTAGCGGAATTCCGCAAAGCTCATTCGCAAAAGTACGACCTCAAGAGTGATGCAACCAGGTTCATAACACATAACGAAGTCTTTTCTAACAAGCACCACTTAGTTACATCGACGCAAAACAGGAATGGTGGCAGTAAAAGAAGGCATAACTGGGCAAGTTCTCACCTTGATCGCATCGTCCAGCTGTGCCTTGAGCTTGGCGTAGTCCTGTGACAGGCGGGTCCGGCACTCCTCCAGCTCTTTCCGGGACGTCTCGATGGCCGCCTGTAACTCGTCCACTCGTGCCTGTGCCTCGGCCCGCAGCTGCACAACTTCTTCCTTGAGCGAAGGCAGCAGCCGCTTGTACATCGCCAGGGCTGCCTCATTCTCAGCAGCCCTTGCCGAGTGTTCCTGCAACAATGCACACAGGTACAGTCCGTTTCACACTTACACGCACAAATCGCGGTGCAGCCAGCACTGCAGTTGCATATAGGCAGCAGCTCGCACATGCTTAGACACTTGAAGGGCCGTAGTGTTGAATCGTACCATATACTATGGCGGCACGTGGGTACAGCGCTGGCCGCACCAAGTACCGTGCTATTTGAGATTTCCCATAAGTGTGAAACAGACTGTACACCCAAACCTTGATATAACGAATCCCAATATAATCAAATATCGGTTGTAACAAATTAAAGTAAAAATAGTCTTTCAATAGATATAGCGTTAGGAATAAACCTTTATAACGCATTTCTGGATATAACAAACTTATTTTTGTGTAAGATGCAACTTTGTTATCATGAGGCGTGAGTGTACAATGAACGCTTGCAACTGTGGCATCTATGGTTACGCCTGTATCCTAACACAGGATAAGGCTTTGCTTGAGATTGCCCGTCGTTACGAAGAATCAAGAAGTAAATTGCGCTTTTTTTCAACACTCTTCTATTCTCTGCCAGCTGGCCACTGCAATGTTCCCGCCCCCATCCTGAGTGACCATTCATTGCACAAAACTCTGCAAGCGTTAAAGGGGAACTATGGCGAATTTTTTAACTTGCTGAGATAATTCTGTTTTCAAACAGAATTATCTGCAAAAGCTAGTCCTGCAAAAGCTAGGGTGATTCATTCTGCACAGGCACTTGTCAATAATTTTAAATAAGCAATAAACGACGAGTCAATACAGAAACCAAAACAGGGAGCTGCTCCATCATTTATGGTGGGTGTCACAGGTCCCGTTAATTAGGGAGGCGATCGCCGGGCTAATTCCAAGGGCTGAAGTATCGGCCTCCCGAACTGCACCACGAAAGCGTGGACAATTTAGAAGCGGTCCTATTTGGCGCGCCAGCGGACGCCGGCTGTGGCCCAAAGAACAAGTCAGAGGCGAGAGTTGACAAACAAAACAAAATTATATTCTCAATTATGGCAGATCAAAACGATACACAAATATGCACACTCGACAATAGTTGAATACGATATGTCACCAATCAAACAACGTACTACACAGTACAATCAGCCACACTTGAAACAACGGACACAAACAATACGCACTACAATGCAATCGCATGCATCGAACAACCAAGACACTTAAAGACTAAAGAGTTCGAAAACTTATTCAGTCCAAAGTCCTTGGAACAAAAGTCGGAATGATACTCTTCCGAGAATCACTCACTCAAAGTCCAGCGCTGTTGTCGTTCCGCTGGCTCCGAAGTTTCTCTTCCAGGAAACCTCGCGTCTTCAATTGGCCGCTCTCCAAGCACCAAACTTCTTCGCCGGTAACACGTCGGCTTCCCGCGCGTTGCGATTGCAGGATGCGTCTTCGCTCTCTGGGGGTAGTCTCACACTCTTCTGCTTGTAGCACGAGTCTTCACCCCTCAGGGGGAAATCCTCTTCATTACCTCCTTTGTCACTGAGGACAAAAGGCTTCGCCCACACGGCGGAAAGACCCTATGCACACTAGCGCAACATTCCTTCTTCTCCTGCTTTGTCACTAAGGACAAAACCTTCGCCGACAGACACGGTGGAACACCATATGCACTCTGGCGCGAAATTCCTTCTTCTCCTCATCTCCCATCTCTGCTGCTCGGTTAAATACCTTTCGCGCTGGATTCCAGAAAATTCTCATCGTTTCGTCAGCGCGATGCGCAGCGAAGGCTGGGGAAAGCGCGAGACGTTTCGAGGGCCGTCTGCGACACTTGACGCAACTCGCCATCGCCACACCCCTTTCCCTCGAGAACCTTCCAGGGCTTGCTCGGCCGCCGATGAAAGGAGGATGGTGGCGAGACTACGCTTCCGAGAGGGGAGGGACGGCGCGCCCGGGGAGCCTTTGGATGTTTATTTTCTTCTTTATCGTTGACCTTGAGGTGTCTCTCTAGCGCTTGGTCGCGAGAATTCGGCGGCGCGCCCTTTTTCTGAGCGCTCGTTTGTGACAGTGGGTATCGTATGACGTCACAAGAATCCGTCGCCAATGACGTCACGAGATTCGCTACACCCCACCACGGCTGGCCAGGGTGTAAACATAGCTCACGTGCCTCTTTTGACAAAAGTTCACGAGGTCATCCGACGTGGAGTCAAAATGTGCCAGCTCATCTGAACTTACCAGTGAAAAGGTCAGCAATGATTGCAGCTACTGTCTGAGCGCAGAAGCATCGTTTTTTTATTTTGACCTGCCGACGCGTGAAGCATTTGACATGCTCTGAATAGATTGCCTCGTTGCTCGATATTGCAAGACCAGATGTCAACGACAACTAACACACTGTATGCAACTGACAAAACTGAACTCTGCTCGCGTTGTCATCGCCTCATAGAAGAGAGCATGTGCTGCATCAGGCTGCTGGAAAAGTCGGGTTTTTTAAAAAGGGGTATCGCCCTTACGTCACATACATAGGGTGAACGTTTGCAAGTGTGACTCCAGAATCAGCTAACAATATTAAAATGTGTTTTCTGGAAAACTAAATGACTTGCGGTTGTATAATTTGGCACATATCCCCATGGTACCAACACGGACACATGCTCAAAGTTTTATTGAAATCGATGAATATCGAAAAAGCACCAGAGTTCTTCTTTAAGATCATCACATACGAAAGAGCGTCATTCCTCTTTTTTTCTTTAAGCATTGTTAGTACTGATTGCACGATGAAAGCTGCATTAAAGACATGCAGCTCAAAGAAAAATGTTTTCGCCCGCTTTCCTACCTGCTCTTCCAGCAAGGCGGCATTGAGCTGGTTGATTTTCTCCTGGAATCCCTGTTCCATTTCCTCCAAGGCCTTCCTGTGTTTGGCCTCCTCTTCGAGCAGGTGGGCACCCATCTCCTCAACCAGAGCCTTGCGTTTCTCGGCCACCTGTACATCGCACATGTCAACCCGTTCAGTCACGCATCATGTTGTTCTAATAATGACTGCTGGAGTTTTACATGCCAAAACAATGATATGATTACAAGGCCCGCCGTAGTGGACGGCTCCAGAAATTTTGAGCACCTGGAGTTCCTTAACGTGTGCCTAGATCCAAGTACACGGACCTCCAGCCTTTGTTCTCAAATCAAAAATGCAAACACTGAGACGGGGATCACACCGACGACCTTTGGGTAGGCATACAAGCCCTGTAACTACTGTACCGCTGTGGCGGATAGCGTATTGTTCAGGCACTGCAATGGCGGTCTCTGCTGTACAGACACGAACTACGCTGCCATTTCCTTACCTCTACATCAGGATGTTAAGCACACGGCATAACACATACTCAAACTTTTACAAGCGAGCACTTGAAAAATACCACACTTATCTTGCATCAAACACTTGGAAATTAAGTACAAAGTGTAAGGTTACAAGGAAACTATGCTTTTAGGCTTGTTGAAAGCAATGAAGCCGACATAGACTATGGCTAGCTGTGCCAGAGTAAGAAAACCCTCAGAGCACTGGGCAATGGTAGATGAATCATGACTTCTTGCCAGGCCCCATGAGTTTGCATTGCTTCAACTCCAATTAGAAGAATGTAAGTATGGCTTCACATTTACCGTATTAACAATGATTGTAAGTCCACTCGAATGCTGGTCGACCCCTCTAAAATTGCACGGAAAGAATGAGCGCGTTTCATTAAAAAAGGTTATTCACAATGTGTCGAAAAAAAAAAAATTAAGTAAAAGGTGGCTTCACAGCAGTGCTTCAAAGTTGCACAAAAAAACTAGCTTCGCGGAAATACGCAGGGATCATCTTCAGAAAGACTTCACAACTGAAACTAGTTTTCGGCTCTAGGTCTACACCCCCAACATTGGAAGTCATAATAGACAAAATTGGTCGACCTACAATTATGTAAATACAGTAGACTGGCTGAATTGATCAGCTTAAATTTTGTCCGCAGACACTTTTCTCAAGTTTATGGGAAGATTATGGGAACAAGTCTATGGGAACAAAAGAGATAGAAGATTCTTATGACATGTATTTAAGATTCATTGCAAGCAAAAAAAAAAAAGCTTTCTTACCTTGTTGGCCTCCGAGGCTGCCATGGCACTGCTTCGCGATGCATCTTCCAAACCATCGATGGTACTTTGCATGGCTTTAATCTTGGAACCCATCTCCTGGAAACAAAATAAAACTTGTCCGACACTCCAGTCAAGGAACTACAAACATTTTGCAAGGCAATCATAGCAATGGCACAGGCATTGTCAGTCAAGAAACTAAGCAACTGGGACATGGAAAATATGCTAAACTCTCGATATGATGAAGCCAGATATAACGAAATATTGGTTATAACAAAGTAAATGAAGAACAGACTTGTAATTGATGTAGTGTTAGAAATATACCTTTATGAGAAATTTCCAGATATAACAAACACTTTTGTGTAATATGCAACTTTGTTATGAGGTTTGAATGTATACTCATGCCCTAGATCTTCTCAGATGACAACATTACTATTCAAGAATTGCAGTTAACATATCAGCAACAGAGCAAAGCAGCCATTACATGCAAAGCAGTTGCATAGGCTGTGTCTAACATAACAGGGGCTAAAATGTATGGGGTATTACATTATGATTATTACGAGGCACGGCCGAGTGGAGGGGCTTGGAAATTTCTACCATCTGGTGTTCTCTAACATGCACTGACATGAAACAATACAAGGACATTTAGTATTTAACCCCTGTCGAAATTTGAGCCCCATGACCAGGGCCGAACCACCGACCTGCTAGGCAGCAGCCGAGTGCTGTCGCCACTGTGCTACTGCGACAAGACATTTTAATTCTCTAGTAAGTGTCGTCAACACCAGACAAAAAGTGGTTTTTATAAAAACGAGACACATGAAAGGCTAAATTGTAACAGTACCAGTAATGAAGATAGTGCTCTGCCTCATGCCAGGGAGGAAATTAGTTCTCTGCTGACTTGTCTATCTGTCAGCTACGAGTTCTGAAAGTTGCACAATAAATTGGCTATGAACATTTCAATTCTTCTCAACTACAGTCAAACTCCTTTATAAGAGTCGCTGGTATAAGAGACGATTGAGTTTAATATGCTTCAGATCGCCTACAGTAAAATATGGGCTGATGAGAAAACACACACAGGATACCCTGCTCATAAGAGACATCTCATATAAAGACAAGAATTGCTGCCCGGAACATGCCTCTTATAAAAGGGTTCAAATGCACGACGAAGATGCAATGATCTCTATCCATAATAAAAGAGGTTACCTCATTCATCTTGAGAAGGTTCGCAACCTGTGCCTCGGCCTGCTGGCACTTCTCGGTGGTTTCTCGAAGGAGCATCTCCAAGGAAGCCTTCTCGGCAATGGCCTGATGCAGGCGTTCTGGGGAGGCATTGTTCAACTGCAAGAAAATCAAAGCAGTTGAGAACCTATTTCCCTGTCCTGCCCGCTAATGGTCACATGAAAGACTCTTAAGATCCACTTCCGCAGCATCGCAGGTGAAATGTTGTGCCGCAAAGGGCCATTATCAAAACAAAGAGTTCAGAGCACTGCTATGCATCTAACTTGAACAAAATTAAACTGCATCATAACTGAACTCATGCGGCGACCAGATCACAAGTTTATATATGCTGTTATCTTAGCCCACAGTAACATTGAATAGTAGAATGTGGGGTAACTCTTCTCCGAGTCTCTCGGTGCCCTATATAGTAATTTACTTATGATGTAGATAAACAGTGGCAAGTTTGCACAAGTGCCGTCTCTTTCCCTTGCTTGCAGTTTTTTCATGCAATCCTGTCTTTCTGAATGAATGCATCAACTAGCCACAGTACATGTGTTAATTGAATGTACATTAGCATTATTTTTTTACTTTTTCAGTATTTCCTTATAATTTGGCTACATTTCGTTATAATTTGGTTACACTATATTTCTAAGCACCAAACCATCACTGTCAACAGTCCCGACTGTGGCCCCAAGTCTCGATATTCTAATCTGTTAAGGCACCTTAGGTGGTTTTCAGGCCCATAGAGTAGTGGTCATAATAGACGAGCTGTCGAGTTGTCTTAAATGCATGGAAACAAGGGTGAAATGTTAAAAATCATTCGCTTAAGTGAAATCACAAGGTTTCATGCAACGAAACACAGATATGATTTATTAGGCAAATCATAGAGGATACTCCGCATGAATTTTGACCACTTGAATTAGCACCTAAATTTGAGTACACAGCTGTTTTTGAATTTTGCCCCGATCAAATTGCAAACACTCTGATCGGATACCAAACCTGCACCCTCACGCTTAACAGAGCAGCCTCACAGCCGCTACACAGTGAGTAATCACTCTTCAATGACATTATTCATCACGAACCAGTGTGACAAAGGGTGACACCTCAGTTGACTGTTCTCAGATCAGTTCTGGGTGTTCCAGCATGGCATATCGGAAATTCAAGACATGCACCACTCACTTTTGTCTCCAGCTCGGTGATCGTCTCCTCGAGCTGCTGAATGGTCGTCGTGCTCACAGTCTGGTGATCCTGCTGGGAGACCAGGGCGCTGTTGAGCTGGCTCTGCAAGCGCTGAGTCATCTCCTTCAACTGCTGGATCTCACGATCCTTGGCCACCTGCATTGTCTCCAGGGCCATCCTGTCAAGCCGCACAGCGATTCACTCAGTATTACTATCCCGCAAGCAAGCCTCACTGAAAAACCAAACAACCGGGCCGAAATACTCACTTGCTGTCTGCAAACACTTTGTCCTTTTCTTGCTGAATCTGAAGAAAACTAGGGTGAAAAAGCAAAAAACAATGTTTATGTCTTAAATAGAGACCACAAAGATTTTAATAAGAAAGACAAAGTTTTGCCTGAAACATTTTTTTTAAGTTCTTCATCGATTAACATGAAACTTGCCAAGTTTGCGTATATTTGTGGGCTGATTTCAAAGTTGCAATTATTTTCCTAGAACGATATGTAGTTTTTAAAATATTGCTCATTCCATACGCCACATGAGGAGCTATAGTTTGCCTACATTTGGAGAGTTCCAAAGTACACTCGATTGATATGTAGGGTTTAACGTCCCAAAACCACTATATGATTATGAGAGACGCCGTAGTGGAGGGCTCCGGAAATTTAGACCACCTGGGGTTCTTTAACGTGCACCCAAATCTGAGCACACGGGCCTACAACATCCAAAGTACACTCAAGCCTCGATATAACGAACCCAGATATAATGTATTATCATTTATAGCGAAGTAGGTCAAGAATAGCTTTGTCATAAATAATGTTAAGAATGTATGTTTATGACATATTTTCGAATATAATAAAGCATTTTTGTCGTGCATGTGACTCTTATAATGAGGCCTCAAAGTGAATGAACCTAACAGAGTGATTTCGAATGACAACTGTAAGCAAAAAAACAAGAGTGAATGTTCAAAACCCATTAGAACAAAAGCTATGGTATGTTCAGCATTCCCCACTGATCTCCCAGCCTGACAAAGACTCTTTCGTGAATGTTATCATAACTTTTGTTCAAATGGGTTTAGAACAACCATTCTAGTTTTCTTAGATTCAGTTCTTATCCCACGTCATTCAGATGATAATAATTGTTGGGGTTTAATGTCCCAAAACCACCGCACAATTATGGGAGATTCTGATGAGCATATTTACTTTGTAGCTCTCTCAGTTTTGGGCACATCCTGCTCCCAAAAAAGCATATTAAATATTTGATACTTATTTTAAAAACTAGATATAATAATAAGAAAACAATTGCATATTTGAAATCTACAACCAAATGTACATAAACAAAGCTGATTTCATCTCAATTGATAAAGAATAATTAAAAGTTTTGAAGCCCCAAATACAGCATCTACCAAAATTCTATATCTTGCAAAAACATGCAACAGAATTTATAAGTGTGCACTAACATAAGAGAATGTGTACTTTTCCCTCATTTGTTTCGAGATCTAAGAAAGCACCTCTGTTACATTCGATATTGTGTTCTGAATGCACTACTGCATTTGCCACAGAACTTGACACTTTCATTGTGCTGAAAGTTGGGCTTCAAGTCTAACCAACAGAGCTAGGTCAACCTACCAAGTTACCTACCCCAAGGTTCACAGGTTGAACAGTCAGTGGATATTTAAAAAAATGACCATGAACAGGTCAGCGTTGACCGAAATTCGAGTGCCAAGAAATTCGTATAGCCATATGACATCTGTAATTACTAATTGCATTGTAAAATTAGTGGTGTACTTTGTCACAGATGTTCAAGCTTTACCTTTCATGCTTCCGTTTTAATTTTTCCATCAATTTTTCGTTCTCCTCTTCCATTGTCTCAGTCACTTCCTTTAATTTTTCCTGAAGTAGAACCAGAGACCAAGCACAAAAGTGAAAAGAAATGAAACATTATAATGGTTCTGCATCAACATCCAGCTGCAACATTTTTCCCCAAAGACATGTATTAATTAGAAACAAACAACAACAAAGTGACTCCCACCTCAACTTCGGATAATTGTTTTCTAAGCATGTTCTTCTCTTCGATCTCAATGTTGAGTCGAAGCTTGGCATCTGAAATGATAAACAGAGAAACAATAAAATACTAATTAATCATAATTGTTGAGGTTTAACAACTCAAAACCACCATACGATCAAGAGAGATGTTATATTGGAGGACTCTGGAAATAGCAACCCACTGGGGTTCTTTAAACGAGCACCTAAATCTAAGCACACGAGCCTCAAGCATCTTCCCTTCCATCCACAATAACATCCACATCCACAATAACATCCTCAATCCACAATAACAATCAACATGAGCAATAATATACTCAAAAAACATTCCCTGCCAGATGTCACAGAAGGTAAGCAGGCTCGGGAAAATTTTTAAGACATTAGCAGTGACCAAATGCACTACGAAGAAAATTTTGTTTGGATGTGTCAGTTAAATTTCTATTCCCCTATACTAAAAGACCCACATTTGATGCACACAGATGCCTGGTAAACTGGAAAACATGCACATTGAGGCAAGACTTGGATAGCACTTGGGGATATGATGCATTGCACAAATACCAGCTTGCCAATGATTTTTCTCAGATATCAGAGATTTTGCACTAGCATTTTTGCAGATATTTGGATTCAGTTAACCCCGACTAAAAATTTTGTTAAGCAACTCGAGGCTCGAGAAAATGACTGCGAATTTTTACAGGATGCATTCAAAGCAATAGGCTACTGTTTCAGGTCTACTGAAAGGGGGACGCTGCAACACTTTTTGAGCATGGACAGAAAATGCTGCCAATTGGTAGCTGCGGCTCCCAAGAACACACGAGCCACACGAGTAAAACATTACAGCGCAGCACGAAGCCTAGAATGTACAATTAATTCTCAATGTCTTCTAGAAACCACTCCCTCTTTTCTCTACAAATGATGCCGCATAGTACCCACATCTGTGGCCGTTGGCTGATTTGAGCCTCGCTAGCTGCACAGTTAAAGTGGATCCCGCAAGATGCCGCCACATTGCCGCACGCGTAGTTACAATGAAAGTAAGCTGCAAATTTGAAGAAAAACAACAAAAAAAGAGTGCTCAAGATCAGGACATTCTCTGTCAAAGGGAAACATCTTCTTGCCCCCTTGTCGTCCTCCGTCCTGCGTAATTTTCTATGCACACACTGTCACGAAAGGAGAGACAGCGCTTGAAGCGTGCAACGAATGCCTCAGAGAATATGCTCAAACATGACGGATCCAAAAAATTTTTGCAGCATGTGATTGATCGTGAAGCGTCATAATTTAAAAGTAAGACTATTCTAACTCAGAAAAGTGTTGCAAGACACCTTGAAGCATGCGTGTTTGGCTACCATTAACTCAGGCACTCAATAACCTTGGGAAACAGTAGTCTCTCTGGCCTAAGGACGATGCGGATGATGTTCAATGCCACATGTAAATCCAGCAACAGGTCGTCAAATTCTGTCAAGTGCTCTCAAAGAAGTTCTTCCAGGAAACCACCTCTTCTGGGCACACTGCTGTCACTTTGAAGCTCAGTTACCCTTTGTAGAAGTGAGAACATCCCACCTATAGAAACACGGAAACTTACCCAATGCCCTCTGGTCGACTTCTTCAGACAAGCCGTCTTCCCCGTCAACCATGAGTGGGTGGTCGAGTGCAGGCAAAAGCCCATTTCTGAAATGCACAAAAAAGGCGCGCACTGTGACCTGAAAGTATGCAGAGCCCGACGGAAGGGAAAGAGAGCGAGACTTACGTGCTTCCTCGAAGTTCTGGAAAAGAAGTAAGAGTACAAATTCAAGTGGGTTTCAGTGGCAGACCGTAATTAACCGGTGCAATATAACAATATGCATGAAACACTGAAATACCACATACTTCAACTGAAACAAGGTGCATAAGTCATGGAAGCCGACATTTAAACAGCATCACGTTACGCAGTGCAGCAACAGTCTACTATTAATGCCTAGTATTTCATTTCTACAAAACTTATCTTCTTCTTTCACTCAAGACACCTTCTTTGAATGGCCCCGCCACGGTGGTCTAGTGACTAAGGTACTCGGGTGCTGACCCGCAGGTCGCGGGTTCAAATCCCAGCTGTGGCGGCTGCATTTCCCATGGAGGCGGAAATGTTGTAGGCCCGTGTACTCAGATTTGGGTGCACGTTAAAGAACCCCAGGTGGTCGAAATTTCTGGAGCCCTCCACTACGGCGTCTCTCATAATCATATGGTGGTTTTGGAATGTTAAACCCCACAAATCAATCAATCAACCTTCTTTGAATGTAAGATTTGCGAAACAAGAAGTATAATGTCAGTGAATTAATGCCTGGATAACTGGTTGTCCAATAAAATAAAAAAATTTGTAACTATATAGCAGGCAACTGAAACAAAGCACCTTTATATATAGCACTGAAATAACAAGAGACGTGGGAAAGAGAGGCCTCCTTTCACCTGCAAGCGACTTTTGTAGGGCCAGGTTTTCAGCCTGCAGGCGGCGTATCTCATCGAGGGACTTTTGGTCGGACGGCTCGGGACTTCTCTTGGGCTGCCGCACTCCTTGCAGCTCCTCCAGCTTCCTTTCCAGTGCTTCATTCGCGGTGACCGTCTACAGAAATGCACGAACAAAGCAGTTACTTCGTGCAAGAAAGCCCGACTGCTTCAAAGTAGTACTGACACAAAATTTTTAAAGCCGAGATAACTTGTGGGATACATTTGTGCGAGCATACACACACCATCTATGAAATGTAAATGGCTAATAAAGCCCCGACACATATTTCGAACCAATGTCAACGCGCATGTTGTACAACTGCATAGGAAATGCCCCACCTCACAACATCAACACCAACTTGTTTTTAAGGTAAACATACAACTGCATGACGAATTTGCTTTGGCTGCCATGCTCCTTGAGAGTGCTCTTTCTAGCAAACCTTTTCAATGGGAAAAGAGAGTGCTTACATCATGCAGCTGCATGGGAGTACAAAAGGCTAACATTTTTGCCTCAGCAGTGCATTTGGGGAGGGGGGGGTCACACTTATTTACAACATTCCAGCAGAAATTATAGCAGCACCCCCAAAGCCTACATTGAAAAGAGTTGTTAATGCGGTACTTATGCACATGCGGTCTCGTGTGCTCATGTACCCAGCTACGATTACGTGAAAACCTAGCTTGGTCCAGTCTTTCTCGGCCCACTCTGAAACCGAAACTCTGACAGGGAGCCGTGAACACACCTCCAATTAGTTGAACACCGCATGCTCAAGCGAACGAGGCTTCCAGCCGCGATAAGTGGGTCGTGAACAACTGAATGAAGGCAACAACAAAAAAAAAATGAGATGTAAAATTTTGTCAGCACGAAAAGAAGATGTGCCAAAATTACCGAAAACATTTGTCCCCTAAATTTGTAGACCCTTATTTTCCCAATTAGAAGAGTTACATTTTTTCAATTCAGTTAAGTTCGTTTACCCCACATAATCACATAAAGAAAGACAACTCAAAGGTGGCTTCACTGCATGGCAATAAAATAAAAAAACGGCCCGAAATAAAAGCCAAGACACAAATTGCCCAACATGGACAAGTGCAGCCATCTAGTGTCAAGAAACACACGTATAACGAGTACAATCTTGATCGGTTTGGTGTAGGAACAATTTTTTGTAGAAAAGAAGCAGCCATCATCAGTAATTTTGTTACAAAATCGCATGATGACCATACAGTTGAACCCCTTTACAAGAGACGTAAACCAGAAAGCAATGCTAGTCTCTTATATACGGTGTGTTTTATAAGCAGGGCACCTCGTACGTGTTTTCTTACCAACCCAGATTTTAATGTGGGCACACTAGTCTCTCGTAGACCCATTTGTCTGTTAGATACACTGATATCTCATTATAAAAAAGTTGCATCTTACATGGAAATAAATTCGCTATATCTAACATTCATTATATATGCATGTTTCTAACACTGTATCTATTGGAAGACTACACTTGATTTACTTGTTTATAATCACTATTTCATTATATCCGATTACGTTATATCAAGGTTTCAGTGTAAATCAGTGCCTTTTATAAAAAAAAAACAGTTTGCAAGCCCTAATTTTCCGCATGCAGTGCCCATAAGCCATGAAGGACCACACTCACGACAGACAGCTCCTGCATAAGCGTCTGATTCTGCAGCCGGAACTCATCCTCTTGGCTTTGCAGTTTGCGCTGAAGCACTTCGTTGTCCACAATCAGCTTCTCCACCTCCTTGGCCTTCTTGCTCCGGCTGAGGGCCTACGTGCAGAATGCCATTAATAGGCCATGACCCATTAAACCTCATCACGACGGCAACTTAGCGTAACAGACAGTAAACGTGAACTCAAGTCGCAAGAGTTGAAATACCTCACAATAAATATCGGACTCAAGTTTTTTCGTGACATTGATCATTTCAAGCCAGACATAACATATGCACAATACATCAGAGAGACTGGACAACTTCTTGAAGGTCATCGAATTTTCAAGTGCAGATTACATCCTCCATTATCCTTTTCCTGATCAAACTGTTCAATAATATTCACACAGTTTACCATCTAGCACTGTATCTATAACAACAAAGAATGCTTTTTTTTTTCAGCAGTGAAATAATTACACGTTCATGTACCTAGTTAAGCATGAACCCTGAACGATGTAATTCCTTACAAGGAAGTGCAGGCAGCTAATTAATAAATAAAAACATAAACAAGTACATAAATCAAATACAAAAGGTGCCATACAGCCCAGGAATATCTTTGTTACATAACACCTGTATTCATTTTAGAGGCATTGAGTTGTTAGAATTCCACGGACACGGGATGTTTCCCTACTTTGTTACACCTAAGTTCAATATAGCATCAAATGTCTCCAATAGGAAATGTCTTGTACGACAATGCACCTTTAAATCATGGCTATATCAAGAGCATTACTATGTGAGAGTTTCAAAATGAAGTGAATCTGATTAACAAAAAGCTACGACGGTCCTGATCCCTTCTTTATAGAGAACTGTATTAAGGTTTTACTGTTAGCCAGAGCTGAAGTACAATTTGAGATCATTCATAAAACAGGGGGTTCTCTGTAAATATATGTGTCATCACATAAGAACAATACTGTCACATACAAGACCTCATGCAATTACTGTTTCTAAACTGCCTTGCTTTTCATTTATCGTACGCCACGTGGAGATGCTATGCATATGGTAAAGGACATCAAAAGAGCATTAGTAAGGAGTCATCCTCAAAATTCTACTGCGTTTGTGGGCCAGAACAGAGCGATTCAATGTTCTTGTATACTTCTATATAGCTGAGTTGGTTCTTTTATGGTTAAGTGCTGAATGGCAGCAGAACATAACTATGTGAACAAAACTGTTACGCTGTGCTGGCTTTGATGAAAAACAAGTAGGAGAACACAGCCAACACACACATATCAATGCGGAGCACATCATCACATCTAAATTTTTGCTGTACTCTGGCATATGAAATTTTATTCTGGCAGATGCAGGGTCAAGAACAATGCATCGTTCCTACAATAAATTGTCCTAGATGGAAGATTTGTTGTAAATTTATGGCTATGTCACATGTGTGACTTTATGGCTATGTCACATGCACTAATTTACATATATTGCACTATGATAGCAGTGAGGCAACATTCACACCATACCGTGAAGTCAGGAACATTGTTTTAGTATCATTTTGCAACATACTTTATTAATGCATTACAATAAAGAAGTAACGTGAGTAGGAAAAACACATCTCCCAAAACCAAAAACAAGCAAGTCTTGGATCGAACAGTGTTCACACCTTTTTTCTCCACATCTGCAGTGTGCATAGTTTTATTCTGTTTAGTAAGCGCACATGTAATTATTCTTGTTTCCGTTACGAGGTTATATGTCTCAATAAGAGGATAACCATTATGATACAATTGCCTTTATGGACAATGAAGAGACACTTTCTCTTGTCGCTTTTCAAAGAGGAACAAACATGTGAGAGCCACTATCATGCAGCACTTACCGAGTGAGCCTTTGAGAGCTCCTTCTTGTGATCATCGAGACTCTGTCGAAGAACTACAAGTTCTGCAGAAAAAAAAAAACAAGCATAAGCTTATGACAGACAGGGTGGCTGCGAACAAGCAGTTTATACAGTATGTTTCATTGTTACAAGGGTTGCCTAAGATGCAGCTTAAGCTGTATTCACACAACGGACATGATCGTGGACGAATCAGTCACGTGACGTCAATCTGATTCTTCCGCAACCAGCATTCACACGACAGAGGAGAATTCACGCTACAGGCAAGAATTTCATCATTGCTCGCTGAGGATCCCAACCGTGATTTGGGCTTTTGCCGGTTCACGAATCGCTCCGTGCAGACTGACGTGGGCACGTGGGAATGGCTGATGTATGGTGACGTACTACCGTATTTTCGCGCGAATAACCCACACTTGGGTTGAATTTTCAGTGGCAAAGTGCGGCTGCGAATAATATGAGAGGTTTTTCCTATAGTGCTGCTTCATAGCAATGCGTATTGCACCGTGAAGCTCCTCAACAGTGTAGCGAAGGATACACAGGTGGTTTCCGCAAGTAGTACGGCAGCTTGCGGACGATTTCGGTTTTGCTTGCTTACATCGTTGAAGCGTTTAGAAAAACGTTTGGGGTGGGACAAGTCGATTGTTCAGTGTAAAGCTCAGTGTCACATTACAAGTATATTCTTTTGGACGTTTAGGGCCGCACAGTGATCCTCCACCACTCTCCACATGCTGCTACGTTGTGGACACCATGTTTACGTTGTAAAAGGGCATGCCCAAAAAGTGGCACTGTCTAAGAAATAGAAAGATGGGAAAGACATTTTTGCAAAGTGATGATGATGATATGTGGGGTTTTAAAGTCCCAAAACCACCATATAATTACGAGAGACGCCGTAGTGGAGGGCTCCGGAAATTTGGACCACCTGAGGTTCTTTAACATGCGCCCAAATCTGAGTATACAGGCCTACAACATTTTCGCCTCCATCGGAAATTCAGCCGCCGCAGCCAGAATTTGATCCCGCGACCTGCAGATCAGCAGCCGAGTACCTTAGCCACTAGACCACCACAGCGGGGCATTTTTGCAAAGTGAACAATACCTGTATCTTACCTACAATTTCCCACAACCATTTGGGTTCCATAATAAATAAAGCAGGATTTATTTCAGCAAGGCAAATTAGATATTATCAGTAAATTTAAGTACTACTTTTTGGCACGGTAGCAGGCATGCATTTCGGTTCTATTGCTTGCATGGAGCTGCCAAGAAAAAGTTGTTGCCAAGTGTGAGCACATTTGACCTCTCTGGTACTGCTCGTTCCCTACATCTCGACTTGTTCGCCAAGCATAAATCGATCCATCCTGTCATTATGAGAAGAGTGCGATGGCAGTCCTTCCCCGCACAGCAAAAGCTTAAGATCATGATCATCGCCGAAGAATTCGAAAATCGCGAAGCGGGAAGGTGGCGCGATGTGGACGAGTCCTGCGTGCGACTGTGGAGAAAGAATAAATACAGCCTACAAGCCGCGCACTGCCACCGTAGGTCCTTTCGGGGCCTCAAGACCGGCGCCTACCCTGAGCTGGAGGTGCGGCTAGTAAAGTTCATCGAAGATGAGCGAAGCAGGGGTCATGCCATATCAACCAACATGGCTTAAGTGGAAATGCGATGTCTGTCGAGGGAGCTAGGCATACCTCACGGGTTCCTTGTGAGCCACAAATGGCTGCACCTTGTTATGAAGCGCCGAGGGCTCTCATCATGTGGCGGACTACAATATGTCAACGCTTGCCGGCTTCTTCCGAGGAGAAGCTGCTCAAGTACCAGAGATATGTAACTACCTTGAGAAAGCAGCACAATTAGATTTTCTCGCAAATTGGCAATGCGGATGAAACTGCCGTTTATTTGAAATGCCGTCGGACACACCGATTTGGGAAGACAAGCAGCAGTTCGGTGAGTGTGCTGACCAGCAGGAACATGAAGATGCGCTGCTTAGTCTTGCTTTGTGCCTTCGCCGACAGCACTAAACTGCGACTGTACATTATTCTGAAGAGGAGAACTCTTCCGAAGATTCCTCTGCCTGCTGCTGTGGTAGTCCGTGCACACGAGAACACGTGGATGAACAGTGACTTGTTCGTAAATCAGGGCAAAATGGTATGGGAGAAGATGCCCAGTGCGATGCTCACAATGAGTTCCATACTCGTTCTTGACTCGTTTCGTTGCCACACAATTAAGGAAATGAAGGACCGCCTTTAAAGCAACAGCACTGACAGTTATTATACACGGGGGAACGACGCCAATATTGCAGCCTCTAGATAGGTCGCTTAGCAAGCCCTTCAAAGCAAATGTCAAGCGCAATTATGCCGAGTGGATGGCTGAAGGTCTCCACGACTTGATGCTGCCAGGATGCATCTGAAGGCTTGATATTCCTTTGTACTAGAAGTGGATTGTCGAGGCATGGAAGGCCATTCCAGGTGATATGGTGCATAAAAGTTTCAGAAAATGCTGCGTCACGAACAACATGCATGGAACAGCAGTCTGCATAACCAAGAGGACTGCGGCTCAAGTGATAGCTCTAGCAAGAACAGTGACAATAAGTGAATTGCAACTGCCCTTGCAGACAGCGTATTCTGCTTGCTAAATAAAGCTTTTTCTGTCTTTCTATGTGCTATGTTGCTTGAGCAGTAGATTTTGTAGAGCCTTTCCTAAATATCAAATGTGCGTGCGAATGCAGGGATTTTTTCGTTTCTTTCTCGGCGAGGTGAAAGTAGGGGTGCGTATTATATGCAGGGGCAGGGTTATGCACTCGAAAATGCGGTACACAATCTGCAGGCTCGAATTGCAATTTCATATGTCGTGTGAGTACAGCTTTATGTGGCTGAGAGTACTGTGGAAAGGCTCAATTAAGAATTTTGCTGAAACAAAATATAATCGGCTCACGCTTGAAAAGATGAATTGAGCATCACTGGGAGAAGCCTTTGTCCCAGTGGATATCGAACAGATGTCCGTATCAAAATCTATTTTTGTCACATTACTACCATGAGATTGACTTTGCAATGAAAAGCAACGAACTACACTTTCAATTTTTAAGAAAGGGAACGTGGCAGTGCATGACCTACGTGTTTCGGCGGCTGCTTGCAGCGCTTTCAAGCGAGAGCAACCATAGCTTCTTTTCATGTCATCTGGTGGCAAGCAAAGCAACCAGTCATTGGTAATATGAAGCAGGTAGCAAGACTGTAACTCTCTCCCCGCAAAAAGTCAGGCATGTCTTCTTGCATATTCGCCTTGAAGGGGCTCGCAATCTTGCCTGCTCATGGTCCCCGGTTTAATGTCAACTACACTCACCCCTAGATGATACGAAAAGAGGCTCTGGTTGCTCTCACACTCAGTGCTGCAAGCAGTCGACGGGGCGAGCAGGCCATGCGCTCGCAAGTTCCCTTTCATAAAAATTCACAAAGTACATCCCGACAAGTCGGATTCAATCTTCTTCACGGTGGAACTAAAGGGCCTCTGAAATGGCTTTGACGATTTTTGCAGACCCATTGAGCCCCTATTTCATTCACATTCACATCCCTATTTTCAGATGCCATTGATCTGATCATCGTCTCAGCATTTGTGAGTATGAAGAAAATCCAAGTGGCCTGGCTAGTGGCAACCCCTAGAGATTCACTAGAAGAATTTGAGAAATTGACTCTATAATTTCCAGCACTCTGGCAGAAGAAATAAATTCGTAGCTAAAACCTGGCCACTTGGCGAAGAAGACGAGAGAAAGCGCATATAGGGAGAATGGCAACTTTGAAATAGCTCACTTGATACAATGTGCTTTGCTTGAATTTTCAAGCAAGTTATTCATTCTAGCTCACTGTACTCTAAACACCTACGTAAATGTACCCTAACCCCTACATAAAGGGATCCTCTAGGTACAAGTCTAGTGTTTCAGAGCTGAGTCTTTCACCCATAATGCATGTAGATGTGTAGATTTTTTATTCTCGTTACCAATAACTGAACACAGCCCGCTATACATTTAAGCTCTTGTGATCGTGTCATTTTTTGCAACATGACTATACTGATGACATGCTTTCTGGAAATCACAGGAAAGAAACAAGCATCGCGCTCGATAAACACTTGAGATAATAAGCCCTCGGTAATGGTACTGGTAGATTTCTTGCAGTCACATAACAGATTTTAATGGCTTATAAAACCAAAGCGTTTATAGTTGGGATTTTTTTCTCCAATTATCTCGGACTTCTGCTAATTTCCTTTATTTATGTTCTTTTGTTTATATTATTTCTATAGTGCGTCTTAACAAGCCAAAACGAAATGCGGCGCAGACTGCGCATGATTCAGAGCATGTCAAGTCCTCTCCAGCGCTCGCTTTGGCAAGTGGCGGGCCATCCGCCTGCTATGACAGCAAACGGCAACAGAAGCTTGATAGCTTAGACGGAAGTGAAATATACTGACACAACGTTCCAGGAAGAGAAAGGATCACATGAAACCCAACGACAGCGCAATGCTATAACCTACTCATTCCTGCGTTGCATCACTCATGAGTTCTGACGAAACTACGCATGCTAGACGTGTTTACTATACTCTTCAAGGACACCATCCGCCCTCCGCGCGACTTATGTAAACGCACGAAGGGAAAAAAGAGAAAGTTCTTGCAAAATGTATGTTTCCGTGGTCTATTCTGCAATCAAGTGGCGCAAGAACACTTACCTTGGTTCTGGCGCTTGCAGTGTTCGTCCAAGTTGTAGTTTCTACTCCGCAGGTCGAGCAACTGCGTCTGGTTTCATGCACAGTTTGGGAAGATCAAATTAAGACATAAACAGAACACGACAGCGAGTTAAGTAGCAACGCCTAGTTACAAAGAGAGCATTAAACTTTTTTTTTTTCAAAAGCCCCGTTGCTATGGTAAAACAGAAACGGTACTGATTTCGAACGTTGCAGCCCAGGGATGCAAATGCGAGAAGTACGAAAGCATCGCGCGAATAAGACGCTTCTGGTGCGGCATAGCTAGCACCAGCAATTTACACAATATCTGCCTCGAAGTTTTTCGTATCAAGACTGCAACCGTGGCGCACCGAACACAAAAGTAATTGCGTGATGATAATACAACGCAGTATTACTTGCAGGCGTTGAAACTCGTCGTCGGAGAGCGTAGCCGCCATGTTCCCATCTTTTCGCGGATGACGATGACGGCGACACCTGCCGACTCTGCGCTGCTAGCGCTAGCTTTCTTAGCGCTACTTGAAAATAGCGGAGGCAACCAGAAACAGTGTACACGTGACCAGAAATGACGTCACAATTAAAACGTGACCAAAACAAACGCGACACGTGATATCATTTCTACACGTACAGAAGGAGTATGATCGTGATCTCAGCTCGTGAGAATACATCTGGCTCAACGCAACAAAGCATGCCTTTGCGGGCGTGTGTGCGATCTGTGCAGATTCTACATCGCGATTAGTGTACGGTCGCCCGGACGGGCGTTATCGCATTACGGAATACGCAATCGTAAGTGCAAATAATGCTTTAGCGTATGCATCAATGTGACGGTCCCATTGTTACGTGGAAACATGGATAAGGGTGTGCATCAAGGTCCATCTTCGGCGCACGGCTCGTGCGGGCCTTACAACAGCGAAGTGTACGTGCGCAAGCCTGGAAATACCACCATCCAAGAACATGTTTCCAGTAGCATGGAGGCTGAGACATATGATTCAGCGGACGATGCTGCGCAAGGCGACACCAGTTCCTGGGAAGGGAATGACGATCCAGATCTCCATCCGAACGTGCGCGACCGTATGCGGAGAAAGTTGCGCTTCTTCTTCATGAACCCAATCGAGAAGTTCCAGGCCAAGAAACGCATTCCTGTGAAGTTAGTGTTGCAAGTGGTGAAGATAGCGCTAGTCACGCTGCAGCTTGTGTTGTTCGGCACCAACAGCTACTCGTACCAGCAGCAGCACAGGGACACGACCGTTGCTTTGCATCACATCTTTCTTTTCGATTGGGACAGTGTACGTGAAATCGCCAACTACCCTCCCGCTGCGGGGCCGTACGCAGTGTACACAAAGGCGGAGTTTTACAGGCACGTTGACCATGTCGTGCGGCGGTACTCCAACGTTACGACCGCGGCGATCGGCTCGTTCGGCTACGACTCCCCGACTGGCGCTCTGGTACCCCTCGTGTTCTGCAAGACCTACTACCGCAAGGGCTACGTTTGGCCCTTTAACGATACCCTTATCTTTGACAACTACCCCGTGCGCCGTTGCCTAGCCGTGGAAGGGCCTGAAGCGGGTAGCCCCGTTTGGCACAACTTCAGCACCGAGAGTTACCTCCGTGAGCATAATTTCTCCCTTATATTCGAGCGCCTCATAAACGTCCACCTAGAGTTCACCCTGAAGACGGTGTACCTTAAGAGTCTCAGCAAGTTTGATTTGCCAGACTGCTACAGGTACAATATCACTATATTCTATGACAACGAAGCCCACGACGGGCAGCTGCTAATATCGCTTGGCGTACATTCAAGAAAGCTGGACTGCACCACCAATGTGTTGTACACAGACTCTAACAAGATAGCGTATGCATGCCTCCAGGCTGTCAATGTAATTGTTATTGTTATCTGTGCTTCCTCACTAGTGCTGTGTGTCAGGTCTCTTGTCCGTGGCCAAACACTGCGTCGAAAAACGGTGAAGTTCTTTGCAAAGTACTACAAGAAGAAGCTTACCATGTCCGATGAGTTGGAGTTTGTCGACTTCTGGTATGTAATGATTGCCATCAATGACGTTCTCATCATCTTGGGTTCCTGCTTGAAGGTACAGCTGGAGCAGCGCGTCTTAGATGGTCAGCAGTACAACTTATGCTCCGCACTTCTCGGAACCGGAAACCTTCTCGTATGGGCCGGTGTGCTGCGCTACCTGGGATTCTTCAAGAAGTACAACATCCTCATCCTAACGATGCGTCGGGCGTTTCCTAACATTTTACGCTTTCTACTATGCGCCCTGCTTCTGTACTGTGGTTTCTGTTTCTGCGGCTGGGTCGTCCTGGGACCACACCACATCAAGTTTCGCTCCCTCAGCATGACCTCCGAGTGTCTGTTTGCCCTCATGAATGGAGATGACATGTTTGCCACGTTTGCCATCCTGTCGGAGACTGATGGCATCATTTGGTGGTTCTGCAGGCTGTATCTCTACCTCTTCTTGATTCTCTTCATCTACTGCGTTCTCAGCTTGTTCCTGTCGGTGATCATGGACTCGTATGAGACAATTCGCGAAATACACGAACATGGAGCACAGCCTGGTGAGCTTCAAAGGTTCATTTCTGAGTGCAGCGACACAGCCACGAGCACAGCTTACCTGGAGGATGACCATTCGCCAAAGCGAAGCACGGCAAACATTATTTCCGACTTCTTTCCGTGCTTTCGCAGAAGAGGTTACACAGCTATATGATGCTTCGTGGGAGCTGATTCGTAGTTCAACAAAGGTAGCAAAGCTTTTTTAAATTTAACTGGAAGAGATGGGGAAACAGACTGTTTGCAGCCCACTGTGATTGCTAGTACTATCTTTTGTAGCATTGGAATGAATCTCTCTAGATTGGCCATGTGAAGTGATTGATGTTACAATACCATTGACAAAAATAGAGTGTTTTAACAATGTTTTACTATTAGCTGTTAGACTGCTGTAAGCAGGTATTACACATAGTTAATACTATTAGCACACTATACCAAGTAGTATATAGTGGTGTTCTTATTCTTCATCATCATCTTGTTTGAATTTGTTTATATCGCAATATAAAGTTGCAGCTGCTCTATTTTCTTTATAAATGCTGCAATGTGTGTTCACGGCATCAATATTTGTTCATACTTGATAAATAAAGGACAACAATTTTGTGCTCTATGAATTGTTACGTGGCCTGCAAAGTCAGCTTGTGCACTCATTAATGTTCCTGACAACCATGTTGATATCATAAATTCGTGATTTTGTTTTAATTTACTTTGTATTGTTATTTTTTTTCTTTGAGAAAATCATAATTCCTCTTTTACTCTATTGTTCACACAAGGCTATGGACTTGAGGCAAGGTTAGGACTTCAGTTTTTTCATCCAAAGATTCTGCATTTTTTACAATGGTGCCTTATATGTATATTTGTTCTACATTTCTTGAGTATACATTGCAGTTTCATTTGCCGTTGAAACTCATTGATGCTTATGACTCGCCTTCAGTAAGTGTATAATATGAAGTGTGTCAGCAGATCTCTGTCTAGGCAATCTAAAAGCAATAGTATACTTCAGGCCTGCGTGAAATAAACGAGCATGGCGTTAGAACAATCTTCCCATGACACACAGTGATGTCCGGCTTCACGATTCCCAATTCACTGAATAAATCATAGCCAAAATATGTGTACTGATGTCATTCCTTTAAATTTCCGATCATTTGAAGCATTCCGGAAATGTATGCAAGTACCGTGGTTAAAGCAAAGTGGTCGCATTGTTATTCCAATTAAAAATTGTGCAGACCTCAAATGCAAAATTACTGCAGCCACTGATTTGCGCAAATCAATCTTTCTCACAGTACGAAACGATGTAGTATATTTCACTGTTATTGAAAGGTCCGGATTGTCTTGAATATAGTGTATTCCAGTATTAGTCACCTGCAAGTGATGCAATATTGTTTATCTTCTATGGACAGACAGCTGCTTCCATTTCCAAAATATTCATGCTCCAGGTATCTATATCTTTCCTGCTTGTGTAGATTATTAAAGCTGTTAATACAGACAATATATTTAAGTATGTTGTACCAGACTGGGTTTAACTTTTTTAAAATTGGCCCCGTATCTGCATGTTTCACTGCAATTGTCATCGAATGACGATAGTGTTCCGTCTAAAGAGAGGGAATAAAACATTTATTTGATGTTCTGCGTGAGAAAATCGGTAAATGGGATTCTGAAGGCGCTGCGTTAAAGTGCCTCAATGGGCACAGCGGGTTTGTGTCATCTCTGTGTCGTCCTAGCAAAGCTCAGGAAACACCCGCCTTTTTGTGCATAATGTTGCATTGTCAGCTTAACGTAATAAACGTTACATTCTTTAGAATTACTTATGTACGACTTTTATAGTATAATGAAACACATCACAGTATTTGGCGTGTTGATGTTCTGCCTCAGAAATGCGCAACATTTGCTTTTTAATTGATACTACGTACAAGTATGAACGCAGAAACCAGAGCAATATTGGTGGGTGCTGCAGATGTAGTTGGATTTTGGAGTTGAAGGCAATCAGAATAAGAGGCAAAGAGACAAGCTGTTTCTGGTGACAACAAACCAAAATTTTTGCATCAAAGTATCCAAAGAAGGACTATTGTCTTTAAAGCACACCCCTGCTTGACTTGTGAATGAAGTTGCTATGAGGGGTCATGGGGTTGATGTCACAATTTCACACAAGACAAATGGAATTTGCTGTGTTTGCAAACTGGCTGCCGGAGCAACTGTGAAACCCTTTGCGGCGTGTGTTTGCTAGGAATTACTCCGTTTTTGCACATCAGATATCATGACATTTCTACCTTTACATACACATCTTTGTGCATTATGTATCAATAACAATCCTGCGCTTTATAGTTCAAACCATTGCATTATTTCTCAACATCATTAGAAATGAGTGTAATGTCTTTACTACAGGCATTTCAGTGCCAGGTACATGCAATCTATGGGATAATTTTCCTGTTCTAATAACAACACTGTTACTCCAATTGATTGAAATAACTATTATCTTCAATGGGACTGCTCTGATGCCACAATGGTATAGAGGGTTAGCCAATGGTACTTATGACTATGTCAGTGAGTGGCACTGGCTTATTTATTCTGCACTTTGCCATATGCAATGTTTGCGCATTGAAATCATTCATTAGGCATTGCATTCTTTAAGCAATCTGCTGCATATATACTGTTCATAATGTCCTGAGGGGCCAGCTGCTGCACTCTTGAAAACTGGGTAGTTTACAGCTGGAGTGTAAACTAGCTTTAGACGGATCAGTATCTCAAATGGAAGACAAATCGTGCATAGCATACGGAAAATGTGTAGGGGTAGGCCATTACAGGTACACTCTATTTCTCAGTATAACTGAACATAAAACTCTACAACTGAATGCAAACTTGTGTACTTTTATTTCGGCACATACATGTAAAATAGCCACTAGTGTTTTGATTTTGGTTAATTCGAAGTTCACTGCAGCGTGCCCCACAACACTCTTCGCTTCAGCTCATAAACCCACTTTTTTTTATCTTCTTTCCGATTACACAATACTGACGTAGCCAAGCGGGGGAAGTGGTCTGACCCCCTCCCCGAAAAAAGCAAAAAATTCTTCGCCCGACTCATAACTCCAGTGTGTCGAAGAAGTAAGCGACGCGCAATGGGACGCTGCTCCGGCAGCCAGGTCGTAATTCACCGCATGACCGATTCCGCCACGGCACAATGTGAGCGTAAAAAGAAAAAAAGAAAGACGCATGACAGAATTGGCGTTTCCGTGAAACATTCATTGGCACTGAACGGCGTATCGAGGACACTGCTATCGACTATTCTCAAGCTGCCAGTTTATGAGTTAAAGAGAAGGATAACTTTTTTTTTTATTACACGATGCTGTTCATTGCCTCACCCCAAATGTAAAGATTGCAACGTAGTAAGCTTAGACGAAGCAGGGGGAGGGGGGTGCAAAGATGGCGAAGATTCATCGCAGCGCTGCTCCTCCCTATTATGTCATTGTATGAGGCAGAATTTGAGCCCCTCCACCGCGGAGCCAAGAATTCTTTCTCAGTGGCTGCGCCTTCCGCGCAAGCAGGCCTGGCGTTTTTTTTTTTTTTCTTCGCTACTTCCTTCTCTCTTTTTCTCTCTCATCTTACTATTCGCCTTCTCTGATCCCCCTGCCGACCGACCGGAGGTCTTTCCGGTTAGCCTCCCTGCCTTCCCCTTGTCATTCGTTCCCGCTATCATCGAGTGTCCGTATCTCTGCTATCGGTTTCGGTGAGGTAGTCAACGCTACTGCATGCCGTGCTGAGAAGCGAGTTTCGACTGTTTGTAGACGCCCTAGCCATTTCTGGTCAATAGCAAATAACCACAGGAGGATGCGGGGTTCGTTGACGTGCTTCTCACAGTGGCCTGCCTATTGCCGCCGGTTTGCCGGGGCCAAATGTAGAATCATAATACTTCTTTTTTCGAGGAGTCCTCTCCCGCCATTGTACTGTCGAAACCCTGCATAGTCATAACCTTGAACAACGAACAATCACGGTAAAGGTCCGACTGGATGTTACGAACCTCCGTTATTCTTACATAGATATTCCCCCTTGTGAGAGTTAAGCCAATATTATCTTCCCACTTACGTCAAACGTCCTCGTCGATAAGCAGACAATTGTTAACTTGACCCCTTTCGATTGAACGAATGGACACGTTTAAACTATGCTCCGATATGGAGCTGAATCGAGATGTGGTGCATATGTACACAGACCTTGTAAAATGTCGCTTAGTGAACGTGGCAACTATGGTTTCTATGCGTCAGTGCATGCGGTCAAGACAAAAGAACCGTGAATTTTACCAGCGTATGGTATACTGCGAGCCGTTTGAACATGCCTTGTGCCATTGGTGGTAGCGGCAATAGTTCTTACTCGAAGTTAAACCCGCCATGCACCTTTTTTTTTTTTTTTTTGACCGTATATTATGTACACCAAGCTGATTGACAGATTGATATGTGGAGTTTAACGTCCCTAAACCACCACATGATTATGAGAGACGCTGTATCGGTGGTCTCCGGAAATTTCGACCACCTGGGGTACTTTAACGTGCATCCAAATCTGATTACACAGGCCTATATGTACAGCTAGCTCAATATGCCGTAACATACGTCTTTGAATGAGTTCACCTCTCTGTTATTCATAGGCTCTCAGAATATCGAGAGCTAATTTGTGAATTGTCCCTGTCTTTCCTGTCCCTGTGTACGTATCACGCTAGTATATTTCAAACCATCACGAATCACCAACTCGCCCAATCAACCATTTTGACTAATATGTTAAACCGGTAATTTCGTAAAACCTGGCCTTGTTAAACCGAATTAAGCTATGTGCTCTTCGTTTCAAATAAGGTCATATTGGATTTTATTACTAGTGTAGGGCGTCTATTTGCACTATTCATACAGAAAGATTTGGACGTTCGCAGTAAATTACAGACGCGTGTACATAAGTGTTGTCTTCAATGAAGGAATGCTGCTCGTCTCCTGCTCCAATGCTTGCTTGTTTTCCCACTCATTTTCCGTGAATATACGACATATGTGACATATATGCAACAAACACGAAGTGTCGGGTGCTATATATGTGACGCGAGCTAAGTGAAACACAATGGAAACAGTAAGAAGACAGGGACTGCAGCTTTCCATTTCATATGCGCTGTACTTGAATACAATATCCCGCGTGTCACCAACTCGTCATCCTATTGTTCCTTTGCTGTTACACGTACCCACTTAACACAGGGCAGCTTCATGAGTATATTCGATGGTAAATGTGATAAAACCGACTATTGCGACAAGATAAGTATTGCAGCGAGATAAAGGCAGTCGCTGATTGCATGCATCAGTAATGTTTTATCAGTTTTGTGTAAAAATATAAACTAAAAAGTACTAAATTATTATTCCTATAGGCTCTGTCTCAAGAGACAAGATTTCAAGGTAACGCAGTTCCACAGTCGCTCCGTAGTGTCCACCTATTGTTTATTACTTTCACGTTCTCGAACAAAAAACACTAATAAATTAACATCTGTGGTTTTACGTCCCAAAACCACAATATGATTATGAGAGACGCCGTAGTGGAGGGCTCAGGGAAACGACCATCTGGCAGTGGCATAGCTACCAGGTGGCACGCGGAACCTAATTCCCCCCCCCCCCCCCGAAATTTTTTTTATCCATGGCACCCGACATGCACGTGTTGTCAGGCTTAGACACCAAGTATTCCATAATTATATACATTCGCCCTTCTTCACGTAACGTCTGTGGTGGATGTGTGACGCAGTGGTGTAGCCAGAAGAGTAGTTAACCCACCTCGACCTCGAGACTTTGTTCGAAGAGATATCAAGAGTGACACAAATATATACCTCCTTCTCTAGAAAAAAAAGTAAAACACAACATACGCTACGCTCGTGGTACGAGCTATGTTGATCTCTATTTTTCACCAATATTACTTATATTTAGAAAGCAACAAGCATTTCACAGTACTGAATCATGGGAACGGATGCAATCTAATATTTTATTCATAGCTTGAACGAACAGCGTGCCGTCAGTGTCAAAAGTTTAGAAATCGTGAGACAAAGTATAATCAAGCGTGCGCGGAGCTCCCCTTCAGGGGGGTGGGGGGAGGCGATGGTTTGTTGCAGCACCCCCCTCTCTATAATGTTAAAGGGACACTAAAGTCAACTATTAAGTCGACGTTTATTGTTGAGCTGGTGGTCCAGAAACCTGGTAGTGTTACTTTTGTACCAAGGAAGGGCCTATTTTGAAATAAAATCCCGTTTTAACGCACTTCAAATTACCCGCCTCAAGAAGCGGACCGACTCACGTCATGGTTGCCATGCACAACGTTGCCCGGCTTTACTGCACCAGTTGCAGCAAACCGAAAGCAGCGGGGGCCACAGCAGCAACAACGGTCATTGATTAATTTCCTGCCACTGGCTTCGAGACTGCAGACGCTTTCGTTTCAACTGAGCCCCGCTAGATGGCACCACTTGTCCCGTGTAACCACGCGAAAATTGAATTTTTGAACCACTCGCGCCATTCCCCATACTAACATCCGGCGGATCTTTTTTCAATGAATCTAACAGAAACGAACAAGCAGCATTTTATTGCGTCTCTTAGTGTACGGAACGTTCTTTATTTAGTGCAGTTAGATCGATTACTAGTGAATAATTGTAGGCGGTCCGTCTGATGTCATAGGGATTGTTTTGAAGAAGTCCTACTGTGGCGTTTGTGTTCTTGAGCATTTACTTTAATTTCACGGTAAGTAGGGCACTGTTGTTGATACTATTGTCGTTTTAGATGTTGTCATAGAATGAGGTTTCAATATGACGTAAATTGTTATTTGACTTTAGTGTCCCTTTAATGTATAGGGCAGTCTTCACGCCCCTCTTTCTTGCCCCCCTCCCCAGCGGCCCCCCCCCCAGTATGCACGCCTATGAGACAAAGGATCAAGAAACCACAAAAGAAGTGGAAATTTTCGCTGCCTCGGCAAACAGAATTTCCATGCGGTTCTAGAACGTGCTAACACCATACACTGTACAGTTCGACCGAATACATTTCTCACAAGCTGCTGGGAAACTCAAATTTTTGGCAGACCTAGTGGTCGGAACTATACCGTGTGCATGAACGTACACCATACATACATTGCTAGAGAGAACACTTCTAACATTATAGGGACGGTAAATAATAATAATAATTATAATTGTTTGGGTATTATGAGTTAAAACCATGATATGATTATGAGAGGCACCGCATAGTGGATGTATCCGGAAATTTCGACCACGTGGAGTTCCTTAAACGTGCACCTAAACCTAAGTGCGTGGACCTCAGCATTTTCGCCTCCGTCAAGAATGAGGGACAGTAATACCTATGAACGGTTAATCAATTCAAAAGTATCCCACAAGATAAATAATTGTCATGTACTGTGCGGAGGTGGCTGACACATGGTATGGGCATGCCAGCTCAACCCTTCTTTACCTCCGAACCCAAATCCAACAAGAGAGGACTGGGAGGCGGCCCTGCTCGTTTGCCAGGACCTTGCGGCCCAATGAGCCATGGTCCAGCGTGCCAGGACAGCGGCCACGACCAATGGAGTCCCTGACTAGGGACTCCACCTAATACTGCAGGGAGGCTGACCCACTAGAGGCTGGTCTCCCTGGCAGCCTCTGTTATTTTGTTGTTCTAAATAAATGTTTGCTACTACTACTACTTCTGTCGACGTGTTCTGGAGTCCCAAGCATAGAAAGGCGTGCGTAGGGTTCCCCATACTTTACGCGATGTCTTTATTGTGTACCTATTCGAATTTTTATGTTCACGCCCTTCCTGCTAAAATCCCTGATGGGATTGGCAGTATGTCGAAATAAATAAATAAATAAGGGGAGGGGCGGGGGGAGACGAAGGTTTATCGTAACACTTTCTTTCCCCCTCCTACTAAGTACATGAGGAGGCAGATTTAGGGCGCCCGCCCTGCCCGCTTAGTTGATTATAAGGGGGAGGCGAAATATACGTCAGCAGCTCGTCAGCACTCGACAGTCTTTATTACCTTGGGGGCCTGATGCCAAGGCTACGAGTTATCTATGGGAGCCTGTTTCAAATCAAATTTGCCTTTCAATGGGAGCTTGTTTTGCGAGCCTAATGGGAAGTATGGACGCTGGACAGCAGCTTTACACGGTATCTATCGTCGGTACACTGTGATGGCCATCTGCACAAGCAGCATCCATAAAAAAAAAGTGTATTACACAATGTACGTGATTTCTTTCGGCGTGCATATTCCAGTTGTGCAGACGACCCAGTGTGTGTATCTCGCTTAGTTTTATACTACAACTTGTGGATCCTTTCCCTAAACGCACGTTAGGTTCTATTAAGCGTTAACCAGACAATGGCCTTGCTGCTGTGGACGGCTGCATTAGAAAGGCGTGAGTTCGATCGCGGTCGCAGCGATTGCATCGCAATAGAGGTAAAATTTTATGAAGGCACTGGTACAGTGCGATTATCAGCGCACTTTGAACAGCCCCAGGTGGTTGAAGTGATTCCAAGCGTTACACTATGGCGTTTCATAGCCTGATTCTTTTTGGGACGTTAGAGTATAAACAAAACAAATGGTATCGCCCATCAAACAATCGCATTTCCGTGTATTTTTTTAAATATTTGTTCTACCTAGCAAACAAATAAGTGAGTTACTCTAGAAGCTGTAAATCGTGTTCCAGCCTTTCTGAAAACGCCCTTCGAAAATATCGCTTAACGGATTAATCGAATTAACAACCTCCATCAAAATTCTTTAATTGCCAAATCGGCGAACGATTAACCATTAAGCGAATAAAGGGATTGATCTACTGCGCGAGACAATCTGCCAGTCGAACGAAATGCTAGGCGTTTCTCGGGAGCTGCAGGATGGAAAAGCTCTCGCAAAGTTTGGAAAGGCCCCAAGCGACGCGCATGTGAAACGAGATACCGCGCGCGCTGCAGCTGCGCCGGGGGCGTACAGCTTTGACGACGCCCGGGTCGGTGCTAAATAAAAAAGACAAATGAACGCCGAACGACCAAGAACTTCGCCAAGTCCGCGGAACGTGTCATACATGTCACCCGAAGTGCGAAGCAGTAGACATTGCGTTGTATATACTTCGAAATAATTTATTGCCGTGTCGGCGAAAACATGCATTCAAAAGGGTTTATACCGTGACATGGACGCACATACGTATATCAACGACGGAGAATATAAACAAGCTCGCAGCTTTTCTTGTGTGTTTGTCTTCTTCGTTTCTTTTACCAAAAGCACCGGTTCATGCGGTGAATGCAGCTCGAGAAATAATGTGTTGCGTCAGCAGCCGACCTCATATACCCAATGTATACTGAGTGTTGCGGAACAGTACGCGTCAAGATGTATGACCTGCGTGAAATGAATGGTTTTTGAAATAGGCTTTAAAAAAACGATCAGTCCTTTGAAAAGAAAAGGAATGTTTTGTCAGTGAATACAGCAGCATTGCGCGTGAATTACGTAGAAACGAATTTTTGCCAGGAGTGCAACCACGTTGTTATGCCGGGGTTAACACCTCACCACCTTTGTGCAAGTTTGTACGCAATACCTACGCACAAAGCCACATGTCTGTCATTTGTTTGAAACATGGGTTTCCTTTCCATTTTGCTCGGTTGAGGTGGGCTGGGTAACAAGGGGTTGAACGCCTAGCCGGACAATCTGCACGTGCACTGAGTGATGTACACTAAATGAATTCGTTGCGATCAAAATTTGGAAGGTTGCACAAGCTTCATCCCGTTATATGGTATACAATTAAGCCACTAATACACAATTAAGCCGCTAATTAGCGCTTAGACGATGGAGGCACGGGTTCGGGGGGAGGGGGGGGGGAGCGCACACATACAAACACGGGCGGACACTTACAAAGAAGTATTAGACTCCCCTAAAAAAAAAAAAAAAACATTTCTCACTACGTCGCTGATGTAGGTGGTGCGCTGCACCTTCGTGGCACGTGTTTCGAAAAAAAAAAAAAGTTTATGGAAATAACAACAATACGCATTTCGTACGAAGTTTTACTTAGCTTGATTGATGTGCGTCAGGCTATAAAGACGCATCTTCATAAATACGGAGATAATTAAGCATTCACCACCTTCACTGTGTTTACGTCATTGCGAAAAAAAAAAAAAAGTTGAAGTCGTCGTGCTGAGAGGCTCTCTGTGGCGAATGCGCATGCAACACCCAATAAAACGTTCGAATCCAGCATTGTTCTAACGCGCACCATCATGAATGCGAAACAAAACTAATAAAACGCATTCTCTAGCGGAACGGCGAGCGAATTCATTCTCTCGCGAAGGAAATTTCCCGCTCTTTGTGCTTGCGTCACGTCACGCACGTGTTTTGCGTCACGTGGTACGCACTTGACTGCTGGATGTGACGCGCCAACCACGCGAATGACGGAGCGGGCGATCGGGTTTACAGCGAGGCGGAAGCAGAAAGCGCAACTAGTGCGTCGTGTTCTGCTGCCGCTGCCAGGAAAGGTTTCGGATGGGATCTGAAATGTATGCGCGAGGTAACTGCACGCGGCGAAAGAAAGCCTACAAACTGCTACAAGTGCACGCGGTATCTGACGTCCATAGATCAGGGTGCCGCCCACTCGATCGCTCACGTGCTTCTGTGTTTGTAGAGGGCCAGCGGCGTGCAAAGTGATAATGTCCGGCCAGACGCTGTGTTTGTGCGAAGCAGCGAGCAGGCCGTGACAGGCGGCGATGAATGCTGCGTCCATGGACGACCCACACGAGCCGTCGATCGAGGAGCAATCTTCGACCGCCGGCTCCGCAGGATTCGACGAGAAACTGAGCCGCTACCTGGAGCGCTACAGCGTCGGCTCGTCGATAAACGTGAGTGGAAGGCGCAACAGCGTTGTGTGTCACGTCGATCCGTCAGAAACTTCGCGGGCGCGATGATGTTCACGAAGGACTGGTGCGCCATCCGCGTGCCATGGAGCGTTACATGCGGCTCAAGCTGCGACGATTCTTCATGAACCCGCTGGAGAAGTGGCGCCACAGCGGTCGCTTCCCTTGGAAACTTACGCTGCAGATATTCAAACTGGTGGTGGTAACGATACAGGTGATCTCATTCGGCATGGAGAGCGCCACCTTTCAACGCCAGCATCGCAACACTTACATGGCCCTCGAGCACATTTTGCTGAAGGGATGGGACACGTCGCGTGATGTGCTCATCTATCCGCCTCCTGCGGGACCGTACGTGGTCGAAACGAAGGACAAGTTCTACGACCATGTCCGAAACGTCGTGCTCCGCTATAGCACCATAACTACTGACCCGGTGGGGACCTTCGAGTACGCCTCGCCCGACGGTTCTTTCCAGCCGGCTGTCTTCTGCGAAACGACGTTTAAGGATGGCCGGGTATGGCCGTTTAACTCGACGCTTAGCTTCGACAGCGAAACCGTCACCAACTGCACGAACATCACCGCTCCTTGGCTCACGTCTGACGGGGACTGGGAGGACTTCCACTTGGTGAAGTTACTGGGCCGACAAATTTCATTCGATGAACTGATCAAGGCCAGAATATCGTTCTCTCTCAAGGCACTGTACTTGACGAAGATAGACGAGTCGATTTTCTCAGAGTGCTACGAATATCATTTGTCCGTTGTTTACGACAACTCGAAGCACGATGGCGTCATTGCAATCGGGATGCACCTGAATCCCACCTGTGCACACTGTCGCAGAAGTGTCGCCAACATGGTACCACGTACGGTTTACACCTTGCGCCAGTGTCTAAACGTGCTCATCATAGTGACATGCGCCTTCTCGATGCTTTTGTGTGTCCGATCGCTCTACAGAGCCCATAAACTCTTGCGAAAGACGTCAACGTATTTCACAGACTACTTGCACCGAGAACTGCTGTGGAAAGACAAGATAGACTTCGTTGACTTCTGGTTGATCATCATCATTGTGGATGACATGCTGCTCATAGCTGGATCCGCTGTCAAGATCCGAATCGAAGAAAGACTAGTCCCAAACCTCATGTACACTGCGTGCTCTTTGCTGTTGGGTTGCGGGTGCCTCCTGTCTTGGTGCGGATTACTCCGCTACGTGGGTTATTTTAGGGTCTACAATATCCTCATTCTCACATTGGCGAAGTCAATCCCCAACGTCATCCGCTTCCTACTGTGCACCATGCTTCTGTTCTGCGGCTACGTTGTCTGCGGATGGGTTGTAATTGGACCTCACCACATAAAGTTCCGGACGGTGTCCACATCTGCTGAATGTCTGTTTTCTATAATCAACGGTGATGACATTTTTGCGACGTTCGCCATGTTGTTTGACGGAAAAGATCTGGTCATATGGTACTTTGCGCAGGTCTATATGTACAGTTTCGTTATCTTGTTCATCTACGTTGTGGTCAGCTTGTTCGTGGCAATATTTGTTGATGCTTACGAAACCATACGTGATGCACAGACTGGGGACGATGAACCAAGTGTCATGTGGGCATTTATTGCAGAGTCCAGCGACGAACCAACTAGCAGTGCATATCTCTCAGACGACGAGCTTGAAAAACTGCGTCCTTTGTCTCGTGAGCTATCTTGATAGAAAAGCATTGTGTATACACCGTTTATACAGGAGATAACTTATGGACATAACCCACACTGCTGCAGCCTGCATTCTTCAGAATATGAGGCTGCCAGTGGAGTCATATACACCTTATGGTCTTAATCACTTCTTGGTTGAATGTGTTAGTGAACAGTTATTGTGACATGTGTTGTGTGTTACAATAGGTAACTAGCTATATGCACTGAAATAATGAAGTGTCATAACTTAAATGAACAAGTATTTATTGTATGTGCAATACTAATGAGGTTGCTGCAAGTACAGAATAGTAGCCCCAAAACCTAGTCCTGTAGAATGTAAAAGCACTTTGTCTTTACTTGCTGCTTGTACTGGTTGGCAGTTACTTTTGCCAATAAAAAATAAGGGAAAAAAAAAAGGGCTGGCTCTCCCATAATTGAGATAGCGTGAAAAGGCAGCATGACACACTCTCGGAGGCAGTACAAAACTTTCACCGTGAGACTCTTAGATTGCCAGCAGTAAGAAGAGCGCAAACAACCCTCTTTCAAGTGCCAAAGAACAATCAAATTTATAATACCCTGTATCTCGCCCTTGCCATAGATAATAAGTGTATGGGCTTAGTGTCTGGCCTTTGGAATGTTATTGGAAATGACAAAACTTACAAGCAATAAAACTAACACAAGTTACAAATACCAAAACTTACAAGCGATATTTTAAACATTTAGAACTCTAAGCAATATGGTCTTTGCAACTTGTTTGGCCAGTAACTAGCATGTGTAGTGCTTCCCACTATGTTCTTTCAATAATGCCCAGATGTTCTTGTTTGAGTGCCCACACAAGGGCTCTGAATTTAGCCGTAAGGTAACTTAGTCATCAAGAATGGAAGTCAAGTCAATTAATACTTAAATATTTACAAGTTAACCCTGCTCATATCTGCTAAAGTCAAACTGGCTCCCCCAATGCAAAGGTACAAGTCAGAATAGTTTTCTGAAGGACGCCTTGGTTAAAGCATATGAAGCACCATCTGCCAATGCAAACCTTCGCATGGCTTGCAAAACAAACATGGGCTAGTTGGTCTTGCATATCATGTGAATCTAGCTGCAATTCACAAGAGACAGTACAAAACTAAATTTTGTACCAATTTTGTTTCTTCAGTCATCTTTTGTCTAATGCACCAAGATTTGCATGCCACTTCCACAAGGACTAACTTGTAATAGAGATTTGCATCGCAGTCGTGGCTTGACTCAACGGTGTACTTTAATTGCCAGTAAAAGTCCAGATTGAATGAATAGCACACAAAGAAGCACTAAGCCGCTGACAAGAATATTCAGTTGCATCGCATGTAAACTTTATTCAAATGGCACAATATAAAAAAATAATTAAACAGTAGGTACAGCCGTAGTGAACTTCGAGATGCTTCCCAGCTGCCTCAACACCAAGCCATGTGCCATCCCGCACATTCAGTGGTTCATCTGTACAGCTCTTTACAAAATATTCATGCAAGGTATAGCTCATAACAGATCGACATGCTTCACGTCGTTGCAAATGATGCCATTCTTGCAGACAGCAAGAGGTTTGAGAAAATTCATCCAGACTTTGTGTGCGCTGTTAAGTGTAGCAACAGTTCATATAAATTGTACATTGCCTACTATCACAAAAACTTGAGCGTAACGAAAAAAACAAAACAATTCAGCTCTCCAGTACAATGGAATGTGAACCAAAATGTGCGCACTGAATTCAAAATAAAGATATATTAACAATAAAACTAAATCAACATGGCATCTTGACTTTAACGTCGCATGAACAGCAGATAAAGTTACTTTTGCTGCGGTACTTCGATCTGGCATTGTACCACACGGTTTGGCCGCAGTAAAAACATCGGGACTACTGTTGTATAAGCTCGCGTTGAAAAGTTCCTTCTCGCTGTGGCATCGATTCCGATTCGTTTGTCATTTCTTGGCGTCGATTCTCTGCGGGAATGTTGGTCAGCATGGGCGGCTTTGGAGGACTTCCCATTTTACTAAGAGGCCTGGCTCAATACAGCTTTTTCTCAAACCTGGAAAAGAACAGTTTTCACAGGAATGTCACATTGTGAAAACTTTGTGCCTTTTACACTGTTATGAAAATTTTTGGCTTTCATTCAGCAGATTTTGAAGTGTGTAGTGAAGAATCATACAGTATAGTACGAAGCTTTAATAACTGTACAGGTTTTACTTTTCCAAAGCCATGATATTAGCGAAAGACGTTGCAGTGACAGGCTTCGGAAATTTCATGTACCTTTCATGCTTTTCCTACTACAAAAACAAAGTAAACTGTACCAAATTTACCTGAAAAATCTTATTTGCTCAATCCTACTACAAAAACAAAGTAAACTGTACCAAATTTACCTGAAAAATCTTATTTGCTCAATTTGTAAAACTTTTTTTTTTCTGAACAAAATTGCACCATTACTTTACGTGGCGTTTTTTATTTCATAATTTATGAAAAAAAAAGATGGCTCTAAGACGGTTTCACCCCATGGCAATACGGTGAATGATGGCAATAAAATGAAAGCCGAGCCACTAATGGCACAACATAGAAAAATGTAGCCATATAGTGTCAAAAAACGCAAATACAACAAGTCCAGTCATAGGTTCCAAGTGGGACTAATTTTGTTGATGGCGACTGCACTAGTCATTGGCAGTGAAGGGATTAACGTGCCACTAAATCTAGGTACACAGGCCTTAAGCATTTTCACTTTTGCCAAAAATGCGGCTGCCGTGGACAGACTGATCCCACAACCTTCAGGTCAGCAGTTGGGCACAATGCAGTTTCAAAAAGCATCATTAATCATTAATTAAGAGGCAACGAGGACTCTCTTCTAACTTCAACTATGAATGCTTAGTCAGAATGTAGGTCACTTTACATGCTAAACTAGCTTGTGATAGAGTCTCTTCAAGTCTTCAAATTTTCTCTTTCCTTATTTTTTAATTCTGTGGAGCGATAAAGTAGCAGAGAAGAAAGGTCACTTACGAGTACAAGCCATGCACTCCACCCTCAGCCTGAGCAGAGACTGATCTCTTCTCAAACTTGATGTCGCCCGAGTACATGTTTGTCCTGCGGCAAAAATTACGGAAGGAAACTTGCAACAGGGGCAGAAGCAACGTTGCCTGGTGGTACAGACACGAAAGCAAGAGATTTATTAAGGTGTAGCGCCCTGCATCTAACCAGCTGCCGCTTGCAAGACTCCAAACTGCACAGATTGTTTCATATAGGAGAGAATATATTCATTCGCAGCTTCTCTTAGCGACATGTACTTACTGTCGTACTAGGCATAGCAGTCCGAGGAGGACATGCTGAAGGAGTTCTCTCAAAACACAGCAGCTGTGAAAGAATGACTTAAATCTCAACCTTAAGTGTTTTATCTGGATATGAAGGCAGAAAGACAAAAAATTTTACGAATACGAAAATAGGATCCAGACGGTAAATATACAGCAGTCTCTGTTCAAAATTTAATTTCAAGTGACACAGAAAGCTAGCAAAAATAACCACTTCTTATACAAGAACCGATTAAAAACAACAAATATAGACCAGTACCTCACGCTAAGTGTGGCATATAACACGAATCGCATGACATATGCAGAACACATGGCTTCTTAGTGTAGCCTATAGGGGTGCTGAATCGCCTAGTAGGTGGCATGCGTGAACCTACATTACAGTGACAAACACGCATATTGTCTACTTATATATGCTGTTTGAAGGCTGCCAACGAGAAAACTACACAATGGACAACCAAGTGGAATTCGCAAGACTGCTCGAGTTGTTATATGTACTACTACTTGCTCATAAACAAATTTAACGCAAAGTAAAGTTATGTTGCCTGCACTATATAGTTCTATAAAATTAACTAGAGGGGACTGAAGCACTGGGATCGTTCAGCCACCATGGGAATGATGGGTAGTACACAAATTTGCCTAATCTTCGTCGTTGCGGGCTTCTAACGCACTTGTGGCTTTATTTATTGTTGTGCCTTGGCTTTGTTTCGAATGAAAGAACGAACCGTTGTTAACTTTGTGACATGATTTGAACTGGTCAGCCTAAAAGGTTAAGGTGGTGAAGCGTACCTGCTACACCATTGCGGATTATCGTCTCGTGACAAAGCAGCTCGAACTCTGCAAAGCCAATAGAGCTGAAAGTGTGAAAATTTGACAAATTTGTGTACTACCCATTATTCAGATGCTCGCTGAAGCGCCATGCGTTGCAGCTTCCATAGGCACTAGCGCCAAAGTTCCCTCTAGTGTATATACAAAACCTTTACGGTCCGCATTATACACACTACGTATCTATTACTCCATCACGCTCAATCTGTTCATTGTGGATTACGGAGTACTCACTTGAGCACGTCCAGGCTGCGAGCGCCGATGTCCTGGCAGCCAAACCTAATGCCTGTGATGAGGTACGGCACATAGCGGTGGATTGATCCTTTGTCGACAATGGTGCCCGTCACTCCCTGGGCCACCCGGACCTTGTCCTGTTCACTGCAGAGACAAACTACCCATCAGACAGGCCTGCTGGGACTACTAGGCAAATATGTTCCACTTAACCGGAGTTTCATTCACCGAGAAGCGAACTGAGTTAAGAATTCAAGTATAACACCAATCATATTAGAGGCAGTTGTTCAATTCTATTTACTAAGCAACTCCGTTTACTAGCAGTTTAACTTATTCATTTCAGCTAACTTGAACCACTTTCCTAATTGTCACAAAAGAGGTGAACTTCCAGAACATCAGGTTCTCATGAACGGAGCATCCAGACCACAAAGACAGAGGGTAGGGGCACTGCCATTTCGTGGGTGAAGCCTCAACTGAACTGTTAGGCTCTCATTGAGAATATGTTACAGTAATACTGAACTTTGCGCCCCACTCTCATCAGCCCCTAACACCAGCAGAAAACTTTATAGTAGTTACTTGTGAAGTGACAAGCATCTGAATTGGAGCCATTAGAGTATGTAACAAATTATGGAAGTTGTGCTCGTTGTTTTGCCCTTTCAACATATGCATAACTGCTCATAAAAGAATCTTTCATGGTAGTCCATTGATCCTTGACAAAGCCAACCTCTATTCGAAAAAAAAAGTTAATTATTATGCAAAGCTTAACGAATGTCCTACTCCCTTTAGCAAGCTTGAAGGAAATGCCTTTCTTGTCTTTCTTCAGAGCTGTAGCTGTGAGAAGAGTGAAACAACAGACTAACCTTTGATGGTATCGGTTCAGGCTGCCGCTGTCCTTGGCACTGTCCATAGCATCCAGCGATCCCATGCCACGGTACTTCTTGAGACGCACCCCGTTGGAGAAGAAGTATTCGCCGGGAGCCTCAGTTGTGCCAGCCAGCATGGAACCCATCATGACTGCAGTGAACATGTCGTAAGTAATGCCATCGGACAGTACTATGAATTCGGAGAAAATATGAGCACTTTCATTGGACATGCCCAAGTTTTGCAACAATACCCATTTCAACTTCTGTTTTTTCCACGTTTCTTCACTGGTGTGGTTGCTGCTGCTTCCACTTCGGCATGTCATTATGGACAACAAACTGTAGAACTGGAGCCCCAGAAAATTTTTTCCATACAAATTGTGAATGATATTTACAAAGCTATGTTTAAATGTATGAAAGCAGAGCTAAAACATGCATCTAATAAGTGTGAACAAGCAACAAAACAGAGGATCACAAAGGCACTAAAGGTCCAAAGAAAAAAAAAAAAAGGAAAGGCAGACACAAATGTGCGATTTATTAACAACAAATAACTTTTGCAATCTATATTACAACAAATGTACCCAAAAAGAATGCATTTATGTCTTCTAATTAGTACACAGCTAAACTGTCAGTAACCACTCACAAAAGATCAAACAAAATGTGCCTTGTCCTTTTGCAGAACCGCAGTAAATGTTATGAATGCCACAAGCTTACCAGTGGAAGCACCCAGGGCTAAGGCTTTGATGATGTGGCCCACAGAGCTAACGCCGCCATCCGCTACCACAGGTACACCAAACCGCCTTGCGTACTCCGCCACCTTGTACACCGCTGTAGCCTGCGGCCTTCCACATGCCATCACTGCGGGTAACCCAGCACGCTTAACCTCATTTGCCATACACAAAAAGCATTCTAAGAGCAGCACGAATCCTGTTTTAAGAAACCTCAACATTAAAGTTGCACCATTACAATGGTTTTGTTCCGCTTGCTCATAACATTGGATCTTGTTTTCATGAAAGTGCAAAAACATGAAGGAACAAGCTGTGGTGTATCTACTATTTTTGAGAAAGGTCCCCAGAGCATCTCAATAGCTGATAAACTCTCTCCTGTGTTTATTTCAGAAAAGAAAAGGCTAGTCCCGCCACATTGGCGACTCCTGTTTCTGTCTATGGTCGTTTTATTTTTCTCATATCGCAATTTCATTAGAAAGAGCACACTTGTATTTCCACTAATGCATATAGTACAACTAGCTTCAGCTGGCTTCATACGACTGCAAATATTCAAAATACCCGAGCTTGGCACTGCTTCTCATTCGTGTATCATCAGCCAGTTCTTTAGAGTAAAGGCTAGGGCTCTAGCAACAATAATATGATCCAGCTTCTCATTCCAAGAAGGGAGGACAAGTCACCCGTTGTGGCTGGTTGCAAGCGGGCAATGGAAAAGTCCTTTATTAAGGTTCTACATTTGGCATGGCTGACAAGACTATCAGCATTCACTGCGCTGCATTAAATATCAGCAAGACACTCACCTTCCTGGGTGATGCAAATGGAGCCAGAGCCCATGCCAACACGAAGACCGTCGACTCCAGCGTCGATGAGGTTCTTTGCCTGAGCGGACGTGACAACTGCAGTGCGTGCCAAAATGTGAGAACAAAGAAGATCTCCGCTGAAATTTTTACATTTACTAAACACACCATGTAAAAGACTCAGAAAAAAACCCAGAAAAAGATTGGCCTAAGAGGAGTCTTCCTAAGAGAAGTTGTAGCATGAAAAGCATTTATTGTACTAATCTATTACATTGTTGTAACAGCATACAGCTAATAGTAGCTGACATTAATCAACAGCAGGCAACAGTACTCAAAATTGCCTCGTGGTGGTGTTACGCAAGTAAATATGTCATATGTGCATCTCGTGCTGGGCATACCAAGATTTATACGGTTGAAACACGTGCCATAATTATGTCATGCACTCTGTGAAGCTATTTATCCCGTTTATGTCATAGCATGTATGTTATGTGTACTCCGAGCTTACAACAAACACCGGATTGCTGTCATTTAGGTTAACTTCATGGTATGTCATTGATGTTTCATACATGCATGTTGTGCAATGCACACTGTAATACAGTTAAACCTGCTTATATAAACCTCCGTATAACGCATTCCTCGATATAACGAAGTGTTTCTATTCCTCGCCGTTGCTACATAGAAGCACATGTAATTGCGACCTCTATGTAACAAAGTAACAGTGGGAGACAACCTTGATTTAACGAATTTTTCCCACGAACAATCTAGGAATTTTACTCCGCATTTTGGCCCAAGCATGCATGTCCGGTGACTTCCCCGCCGCTTTCTAAGCGCGAAGCGGCGGCGGCGCGCACGACGGACCTGCACACCACGAGCCGTCGTGCGCGGGTGTGCGCCCCCCACTCCAAACCAAAATAAATAAAAAAACTCTTTTGCGCATCGGCAGTGCCACGATTTCTACATATGCGGGGCCGCGCTGCCCATGGAGAGCGCGTTACCAAATAATTTTCCGCGGTGTCCGTTCACTCTTCGTTTTCGGCGCTGTGCGCACGTGCATAGTTTCACTCCACGCGCATTGTGCGGCCCTCGACGATGTTCAGTTTCGCTTTTTTTTATTATAGCGATAGCAATTATATGGACAGTCTCGGCTGGTTTCTTGCCGTCGCCGCTGCCATTTACATATGCATGAAAAAAAAAAAGCAACCCACATACGCCACTCAGTTCGTCACGATGCGCCGACGCGTGCTTGTCTCCCACGCGTACTTTGCCCGCTAATGCGGGGAGGGGGGGGGGGGGTATATGCTTGTGCGCGCGCGCTTATCCTTCGGTGAAGAGAATCACGCGCCTTTGACTTTGACCAGAACAATTGCGTTTAGTTGCCGGGCGCACAAGATCACTTCGCTCGCAGGACAGATGCCGTTTGCGAAAAGAGTGCGCTTTTCAAACACAGCAAAGTAACAACTGGGGCACATTGTTAGTTCGCACTCATATCTGTGCCTGTGATTACGTTTCCTGCCTCGTTTTTGTTTAAACAGCACATTAAGTGTCGAGCGGTAAACGTTGTTAGTTCGCTCTCGTCCTGTGTATGTTTTCTTGTGTCATTTGTGCGTGAGCAGTGCACTGCACGTTTCGATCTGCTTGCCATTCTCAGCGTTACATTGCAACAATTGTTGTTATTGCACTCATTGCTGCGCCCTTGCAGCAAAATTCTGACTTTCTTTAATTTCGGACAACCGTGTCGTCAACCCTGAGGGTATGTCAGATTAGGCGCTGATAGAAACTCTGAGACACGGTGACGACGGATATTCGGAGGTCGACTCGTCCTGCGTTTTTGTCTTGCGCCGCGAGTTTGCAGGCTGGTATCTTTTGCGATTACCCGATTAGTTCTGGCAACAACACGACGGCGCGTTGAATGGAATGCAATGAACGCGATAGCAAAAATTGTAATGTTATAAGAAGTAATGCTGGCAGCCAACTCTTTTGGATCCGATATCGCAGAACTCCTACAAAATGCTAGAGTGAGCAAATACGGCCGCTCCAGGGACAAGTGCTCTTTTCACACAGTCCCTTTGCGTTGAAACCACACTGATACTCGCCGAGATAGCAAGCGCACCATGATCGAGACGGCCTATAATATCCACCTTCATAGTTACTATTCAAGCGATTCCCCTCCCCGCGTTGTTTCATGCTCGTTCAAGACGGGTGGTTTACTTTCTGTTCGAACATTCGACGGCAGTTCCAACACGCAGGAGAAGTTATCTTATGCACTTTCCAGATGATAAGGATGGGCCGACTAGATCATTTGACCTCTGCTTAAGCAGCGCTCGCGCGCTTTTAGCCGCTCGCGAAAGTTACGATGCGCGGGAGCGTGTTATCAATTTGGACTTGTTACGGAACATGGCGAAAACCCGCGGCGATGGCGAAAACCCGCCGAGAGCATCCATATAATTGCTATCGCAATAGTAATGCAGTATTTTTTACGGTAAAATGAGTGTATTGGCTTAGCTCTGCCTTCAGTCCCTTTTTTTGTTTAATTTGCGTTTATTTTCCGAATTTTCGTACCAAACCTGCATATAAAAAATTCTCTTCATAACGAATTTTTTTGGGAATTTATCAATTCCGTTATATCCAGGTTTAACTGTATACAGACGAAAAATCTATGAAACCACCCTGACATACGAGATATCAACAGACAAAGACAACTTTGATGCCATCTTGTCACTTATGTCATCCATGTCATGCCATGACAAAGTGCTCATCTGTGTCACGCATGCATGCCACGGCACGAACGTTCTGGTATGGACCCAGTTATTGAAACCTTTCATGAAATGACGCCTATGACATTACATGGGAGGGTAGATAGTACTTCCAAAGTAACATTGGTTCCCCAACAATGCTTATAAAACTCGCCCTAGCAAACACGATTTGACAAGAGCAACTCATGTGCAGGTCCCAAGCAAGCTTGTATTAATACGGTACTATACCAGCTATCTACAAGTAGCAGAACTAAACGTATGAAAGACAAACCTGGCTTAATGCATTTACAGAAGCAGCAACAGGTATTAGATAGCTTACCGTTCCCTCCGATGATTTGCAGGTTTGGGTATTTGTTCTTGATGTACTTCACCATGGTGATCTGGTAGATGGAGTTGCCTTGTGAAGAGTCCTGCTCAACAATGCAAACAGTGCTGTTTTTACACACCCACACTTGCATACCAGAGGCAAGGCTCGCCAAGAAAAGCAATGCAGAACACATTCGGTGCTCTGAAATGTCTTTGATCAAACAAGGATTAGGAGTAAGGTATTGACTAGACCGCAAATAATAGTGCTGCAGAAAATGAGCACTGATGTCTGACCTTAAGAAACGTTTTGGTCGTGAAACATAGCTGCTGTTGCTTAGCAAGTGACTGATGCTGTAGCAATAGGCTGAGGGAGCACGCAGGTCGGCATGCATTAGAGGAAAAAAAAACTAGAACATCAACTGGTGACTTGTACACGAACGATATATGTACGATAGCAGAACGATTCAAATTGCAAATGAGGTTTGGTTGTACTCCTGGTATAATGTGGAAGAGGAATACACAGTAAATGAGGCTTGGTCCTTCAACTGCTCTTCACTAAGCATAATACATAGTGCAGAAATGAACACCGGACAAGACGAGGAGCACTAACTTTACATGAAAGTTTGAAGCAGATTGTACGTACATATAATGAGGTCTGAAACTGCAAGAAGGAAAGAGAAGTAGAGGCTACAGAAAACAGACAGAAGTTCCACCCGTGAACTACGCTGAAAATTTAAGTTTCTTCTTTGACGTGTTAAAGATATCGTTCGCACGATCGGCAACAGCTTTATTGAAGTTAGCGCTCGCCTAGTCGTCCTCTCGTCCTATGTTCATTTCTGCACCGAGTACTCTGCTTGACAATGAACAACGAACAATCCCCAAACCCTATACTTTCCTCGAACGGTTAATCCCGCTCAAATTAGACACTAGCTAGTTGTGACCAGTCAACAGACTAGTTTACAGGGAAAACTTGGCATAACTTCGCGGCAAATGCACAAGAAGATAACCGCCATGAATGTCGTGCCGTGCAAGCACTAACCAGTACGACAACATCTACGCCAGCTTGGACTAGGAGATCCAGGCGGTGCTTGTCTGTCTCCCGGGTGCCGATCGCCGCACCAACTAGCAACTGCTTGTTTTCATCTTTTGAAGCAAAGGGGTAGCTTCGGCTCTTTTTCAAGTCCGTGCGTGCAATCAGCGACACCAGCTCGCCCTGCTGATTCACCAGGGGAAGCTTGCCTGTACACAGGAGAAGTTGACCGTTGAACAAGCACAATCCACAGCCGTGAAAAGTACTGTATTTACACAATAACTCAAATGTAGGTCGACGCCCCAAAATCTCACAGTAAAAAAACGGTGACAAGATGAAGGGGACACGCACGAGCACGTTTTATTTTAAAAACTTATTTACAATGTGTTCATAAAAAAAAAGTCAAATAACGGTACACAAGGGTGGCTTCACGGCAGTGCTTGAAAGCTACGCAGAAAAGATAGCTTCGCAAAAGTACGCGGGGGATCATTTTCCAAGAGGCTTTACAACTGAACCTAGTTTTTTTTTTTATTCCAGGTCGATCCCCTAATTTCAGATTTAAAATTGAGACAAACTTTATCCGACCAACATTCAAGTAAATACGGTAAAACTGAAGCTAAATACTTAAACACTCGCAATGCGAGTGTTGCAGTAGGCACAATTTTGCAATATAAAGGATGGAATCTTCCACTTTCAGCCGCTTTTGTGCAGTGCTACAGGATATCTTTCAGCAATTGCATCAGCCAGCCGAACACACCGCAGTAAAATTTAGTTGAGTAGGGCAAGAGGGCAAGACAAACTTATGAACCAAAAAGGTGGTCCACAGAACAACGTTAAATAAGTAGGCTTGTGTCAATATTTCAATAAATATTACTGCATACAAGTTTGCTTTGATTCGAATTTAAATTACTGGAAATTTCAAAGCATACTAAATGAACAAATATGTTTATTGATCTGCATGTGATCACCTGTAAAGGTTATTTCACTGCAGTGAAGCAAAGCTAAGCCATGAAAACGCCTATCTAGGGGCAAATCCACACTGCCGCAAAGCGCCACTTCAAGGTCAAATGAACATTTTAGCCTCACATCGAAGAACTGTTTTTTTTTAAAGCTTAAAAGCTTGTTATTCCTGCTTATATGCTGTAGTTGTTGTAAATAATAAAAAGTAACATATTTTAACAGTTATCACTTACATTATACTGAAAGTCAAATCCTGCTACTATTCGAAGTTGTTTGCACTTCCTTTGAAACAGGAAGAATGATATTTCCACAGGCCTTCTTTTCATATAAAAATATTGTGCAGGTTATTTGCACCATAACAAATATGCCCATTAAAAAAATGTGATGCTATATACTATTTGAATTCAATTCGAGATTATCTTACTAAAATCACTATTTGCTTCGAATTCGTTTTTAACATAAAAGTCTCTATTCGTGTAAACCTAGACGAAAAATTCTTTAATACAGGGTGTGTCGCTTGAGCCGCCATCACTGAAACACAGGTGTCATTGGGTCTTTTCTTCAAGGCTGCAGTTCTGAAGATGACAAGAATGCTTGTTGACACCCCATGTTCCTTCAAGCTTCCATTTTTGCCTAAACATCTGTTTTATAAATATCTTAAATGTTGAATGGAAAGATGTATGTGAGTGCCAATTCTAAAATGAAATCTATGGTTCAATTACTGTACAATGCTTTAACAAAATGGATATCTAACAATGTGTTGTACTAGAATTGCTGCACAATAATATATGAAAGGTCATTTAGACAATGCCACAACTACCACATATTGAAATTGCTTTCAAGATCCCATGCTGTAGCTCCTTTGTAGCAGGGAATTAAAGAAAAACATATGTAGCAGTGTGTCTAAATATGTGGCGTTCCCTAAACAAAAGTTTAGGCACCCTGAAATTATTTAATAGGTTGAATTTTTACTCTGTCGAGAAAAAAGCCTAACTAAAAGCATCAGCCTCCTGTATCTTGCCATGAAAAGTCAAATTATAAGCGTCACATAGGAGCAGATTAGAAATTGACATTTGCCGTGGAACGGCTGTCCTGATAACTTCTGTTGCCAATCGTACGTCAATGCTGCTGCAGACATTTCGTTCGGTACACTTGAAGCAAGAATGCAGGGAATGATTTGAGGCAAAAATTACATTTAGCTCCTTACATTTCGACAGCCGTGCATATTGGAGAATAGAGTTTGAAATGTGTCCTTCCCTTTCAAAAGAAATTGCAAAGCAGCTTTCTCATTTAGTTGACAGCATGAAGAGCAAAGTCTATTACATTAAAATCACGGAGAAGCCCAACAAGCACACTACCAAAGCCAGCCCATTTAATGTCCAACAGAAATGAGTCATTATCTGTTGCAGTTATGCGTCCCAAAACCACTACTACACGATCATGATCCCGTCGTAGCGGAGGGCTCTGGATATTTCGACCACCTAGGGTTCTTCAGTATGTACCTAGACAAGAACAACAACAACAAAAATATGGAGTGTTTGGGGAGTAGTTCTGCCACACAACAATAACAGTCATCTGACTTGCTCACATTTCCTATTTTGAAAACCCGGCGCTGGTCACTTTCCTTTCGGGAGTGCAATGTCACACTGATAATGCACATGCCGTTCGTGACCGCGAACTACCGAAACCATGGTGATAGCATGAGGAAAGTACTCGAAGTAGATGACGATTATTGTTGTGTAGCAGGAACATGAACCTCTAGCACTTTAACGTTTAACAGCAAGAAAAGTAGTTTCGCATAATTGTTAAATGATTTTTCAACACTCTACTAGACTTCTAAAACTCAAAGTCACCTTTCTTGCTCTTCTGAAGCAGCGAATTGGCCTCAGTCAGGGTTACCTTGGAGGGCGCCACAACCAAGTCCTTTAGTGAGGTCATCACCTGCGGGAGGTCGAGTGAATAGCATTTCTATGTGAGAGAACTGAGCAGCTGAGTTCGATTTTATGTGCCGTGCTATCCTCCACAATGCAACTTAGATGAACAATTTAATGTGTGCGTGCCTCAGTGAGAAACACAGCTTTCATTATTTTGGTACAAGCAACAACTGGACTGAAACCACTCAAGATTTTTACAGAAAGGCACCGAACTCTTGTGTACAAAGCACTGCTATTTATATAAAAAAAATTCATTCCCTCCTCCCTCTAACTCCAGCTATGATAAAATAGTAATTGAGGCTTAACGTCCTGAAACCTCCATATGATTATGAAAGACATGGTAGTAATAAACTTCGCAAATTTCGAACTCTGGAAATTTAGTGCATCTAAATCTGAGTACACGGGCCTCAAGCTGCCAAAACTCAGCTGCCACGACAGGAATTCAATCCTGTGACCTGCGGGCCAGCAGCCAGGGACGATAACCACTATACCACCATGGTGGGTAATTTCAGCTGTGACATCGGCTCTTTCTATGGTTCACAAACTTATCAAAGAACACACCAAGTTCTGAAATTTCTTGCTTTTAAGACAAAATCATTCAAGAACACAGCTGCACCACAATGATTTGGCGACCTCAAAATGAGACATGTTGCCCAAGCTTTGCGTCTGCTTGAAGTACCATTTCAAGTGTTGTACAACGCTGACAATAGAAATAAAAGAATGATGTACGGGAACTGTAGCAGTACTGCAGGGTGGCAGCAGTTATTAGATTTAGAATCCACGTATCACTCGAGTATTTGGAGGAAACAACTGAAATGGCCAATAATTATTGCTCAAATTCAAAAGAAAAAAAACTCACATTTAGCCCATCATTTTTTCTTTTTTCTGGACTGAACTCGATAGTGGCAGCCTCATAATTACTTACATTTTCTGGGAAAATACTGGCGTCTGTCCTGCCGCTTTATTGCGAGCTCTATCACACTGTGAACCTTGCTCACACAAGTGATTTATAAAACGAGATTCCACATCTTTACATTGCACGCTGACTGCCTGTTGAGTTGTCAAACACTTTGTTAAATTAAATTTATATGATGAATGCTCAGAGATGTGTTGAAGCCAGCTCCATTGGAGCGTGGCATCACAAGCCAGTTATCGATTGAATTAATATTTCAGGCTGAAACCGGCTAGAACAAAGCAGTCACATTTACAGTTTGATATCATAATTAAGCACAATTTATAATTTCTGGCAGAATATGAGGCAACTGAAAAAGCAGTATGTGAAGCGACTTAAGAAATGTTGCTTTGTAGAAGAGAAGCAATATGATAACCCTACCATACTCTCAAATTTGCCATTAATGTAGCCAGCTGCACAGCAATATTAAAAGGTTGTTTTGGTTTTTATACCATTAGTACTATTAGAATATAGCAGTAATTCATTCTCACAATGGAACAGGTAGAGGATTGTCCACATCTAAGGTGAATGCTTCAGTTGTGTTCAAGACGTTATAGAAGCAGATCTTTAATACACAACTTGGAAAATCATTGTGTTTGGCAACGCAATGATTAAAGTTCTACTAATATACAGAACATTGCCCTTGTGGAGTAGAGTAAACACAGTTTTACTCGTTCCAATACTAATTAGGTGCCTAGCTTGCACATGGACGACCCATTAGATACCAATTAAAAGCACCCTCACATCAGATAGGAGCTTGTTGTGGTCTTCAGGAGGGATGAAGTCGATGTCCCTAGAGGTGACCATGCCGACAAGCTTGCCACCAAGCTTCCCAGTATCCGTAATGGGAACACCGGCAAAACCGTGCGTCCTCTTCACTTCAAACACATCTGCTACACAGTTGTTTGGGCTCAGAACGACGGGGTCGTGGATGAAACCATGCTTGTATTTCTGCAGGCAATTGTGTTTTAACAAGAACAAGTTTAAGCACTCAAGTGTGAAAAAACAACATTCATGACAACAGACAAGGCACACTAGAGCAACAAAATAGTAAGGTATATTCTCAGTAAATGAAACCTGAAGGGACCAGGAAAATATGTTCCATTTAACAGGAGTTCCGTTTACTCAGAGACTACTGTACTACTAGTAAATGCACCCACTTCAGACGAGCTTTATAAAGTGGCAAAAGAGGTCACGAAAAATCTGGCAAAAGATATCCATTGCCAGAACACCTTTACATAAAATCGACACAGAATGCACAACCAAGTCTGCAAGGGGCTGGCTTTAAAACATTGTAATCTGTTACGCTGAACAAATGCGTTTTTCCTCATTGTAGAACAACTGGGCATGAACAGGCAAGTGACAGTAGCAGTACAGCAGAACCCCGTTAAGTTTTTTGTGGGACCAACAAGAAAATAGTCACGAGCCAAAAGTTACATAGAAGATCCGTAAATCCCTTATTTGAAATGTACTGTTAGCCTATTTCACAAAACATTAACCAAGGGGTTCCGAGGTTAGAATAGTGGTCCGAGCTAATGCAATATTGTCCTCTCAGATCCTTTCAAATCTGTTTGCATGGATTAAGTCTAAAGTGAAAAATCATTTTCAATGAACAGATTCAGTCATTTTTCTTACGCGATGCTCTGACAGGACAGCACCTGTAGTATCGGCGATGTGAAAGAACTTTCGAGCTGATAATGAAGATAAATAAAAATTGAAGAATGAAATGAGAGTTGCTGCATACCTTCACTTTGTTCACCTCGCTGGCCTGGTGCTCTGGAGTACAGTTGTGGTGAATGATACCAATGCCTCCGCAGAGCTGCGCAGTCAGACTCAATTAACAGTGGATCTGCCAGTGCAACGTACACTTTACAGATACAAGGTTAGAGCGGGAGACAAGAATCCTAATAGCAGCAGTGTATTCCTTTAAGGCGAACATGAAAAGGTCTTTCAAGGCAATCTTTAATACAAGCACGTTAAAAGGCGCAATACATGCACAGTGAACCACATATAAGTGTCCGAACTATTCAAATAGTTTTCATACATTATCTTATAGCTTGCTGTTGTGTAAACAAAAAAGGTATAGCATTTATGAAACGGAATTGGCTAGAACCTTTTCAGGTTGACTAAGGCTTGCCCTACTTTAGTTGCATTTTCTAGCCAACACTAAGCCAACAAGTTAAAAGATGCACACAAGGACGGTTTTTGCACATTTTCAGGATTAAACATTGGTCCCATGAAGACTTTTCATTGTCAATGTCCCCATGTGAATATGGCATGAAATAAGGTGTATCCACTGAATTCACTTTTATATATATTGAATTTTCACATCACGCAGAGCATAAACAGAACATGATCACAGAACATGACAAGTTGTCTGGTACTACACAGGTTGCACAAGGTTAACAGAGGGACTTGCGGAAAACCGAATCTAGATACACTTACCGCCATTGCGATGGCCATCTCAGATTCTGTGACTGTGTCCATAGGCGACGATACCAATGGGGCTTGGAGGGTAATTTTTTTCGTGAGCTTGGATGTAAGCTCCTGTTGGAAAAGAAAAACAAGGGAATTAGGCATAGGTTTGTCTAAATTTTGAACTCTCCTACAAACAGTGCTTGCATATATTTTCATGGTGCCAAATCTCATAGGGTCTCTTAGTCCTTGATACGAGTCTGAATCTAACGACCATTTTCTTCCTCAGGAACTTTGTAAATGAGTAAACAAATTCATGAAATGATGTAACTGTGTCCACATCAACAAACCAGATCAAGAAGATACACCTGCAGCATTTCTTTTTGCTTAAAAGAGAGTGTTGTCGTGTAATCTGTTGAAGATTGCTGAGGACATTTCATAGACAAGAAAATCTTATGAAATACTAAAGTTCTCTTTTTCACAAATGCAGAAGAAGTTGCCCAACTATTAAATATTACAATGACTGGTGCTCTTGTATGCCTCACTATACTTAACACCAGTTTTGTGACCATGCACTGCTTCATTAATTCAGTAAGCAGGCAACTGCACAGCCTAGGGCAACCCATCAGATTTTCTGTATTCGCAACCAAAATACCATTCATTACCCACTAGAAGCAGACAATGTGCTAACATTACATTATACGACAACACATTAAACTTCATAATTGTAATAAATATTCCGAGGATTATTTGAGGAAGCTGGAAACATTTCCCGAAACAACGTTATAGAGCAATACATTTTGACGCTACTTGATTCCGTGGCATTGGATTCCGTGATGCAAGACAAAGTACACATTTCTGTTTAGTAGATATGACAACCCAAGCCTTGTTCCGAGATGATACATGTTGTTGCCTTTGCACCTTTCATCTCAGAGCATGCTAAACGAACACTCCCAGTCACCCATCACGACCTAGGCTCAAGACTAATGCAACACTTACGACATCGTCAGCGTTGAAATCAATGTAGCCGGGAAGGATGAGAAAGTCGCTGAAACAAAAATAATCGAAGAGCATTGGTAAGATTAGTGCAGCACAAAACAACCAGGAGAGAAGTTGAATAGCGATGAGCATTAGTGAAGAATGTATAATTTTTAAATATATACATCACAACAACCTTGCAAGAGAGATGCACAGTGCTTGCCTTCCATAACTTTATGCAATGGCAAAAACAGTGTTAAATATGTAACACTTGCATTAAACACTGGTGTAAAGATTGAGAGGTGGCACGTGGGAACGCATCAAAGTTCTGTTCACAAAGGCTGATGGGTCAGTGGCACAACAAGCTTGCTTTAGAAAATATTTACTTAGCATATGCATGAATTCCATCAACAGCAGGAAGCAGCATTAGGTGGATGAAGGAATACACCTCATTAAAACTACAGGGTTGCAGAAAATAGTTAAATGTAACAGAGCCTTCTACACCACAAACTGACATATTAAGTTTGTGTAGTAATTAAGTTTGTGTAGTACCTCATGTAGTAAAACAAAAAGAACACAAACAAATCCAGCCAGATGCACTTTCCTGGTTCATGATCTTGTTTTTTTATGCATACACCTACTTCCTTAAGTAGATAAGTGAAACATGAAACCACGCTAAAAAAAGGGGTTAATACGCTGTAATAAGATCTAACAGCCAACAAAAAAATAAGGAAATAACTTTTCAAAGGATTGAAAACAGAGAGAAGGAAGGCAGAGTTGTTAACCACGGAGTTTTCACATAGTCTATAGCTATGTCCATAGTTTGCGCAAATTAAACATGAAAAAAAAAAGGAGCCCTCCGCCCCCAGTTAATTTATAAGCGGCACTCATAGGTAACCGAGGAACTGCCTGGCGTATGTAAATCATTTCGATTAAAAAAAAAAAGGAGTACCATTGATTTCGTCATAGGTGATCACCGAAGGGCAAGCATGCATCGTCTACTGTCGTCAAACATATGTGCGAATCGGGATGTGAAGTATGCGTACGTGTTAGCTGCGAATTATTAACAGCACGAACACTGCCAGCGAGCGCTAAGGCATACCACTGAACTGAATGATACATCGGGCGGTGAAAAACAAGAGTTAAACGCCGTTAAAGCAATCAGCTGACAATTGTTGCGCGCGTAATTTAGACGATCGCACGCAACCGTAGTGCAACTCTCGCAAGCGGTGGCCGATGAACACACCGCGCGCATCAAAGAGAGGGCGGCACGAAACTGCGCGATTTGAAAAATGCTGCGGCACCTAGAAGAAAGTTGTGCCGGGCACAACCATTTATAGGAGGCACTGGCACAACATGGGTTTCAAGACCTATTCACGGTCCGTTTCAAATGATGACATAATCCGCATGCACCAAGGACGAAGAAAAACTCCGCCAATCGGGGGGTAAATTTTAGCATGCAGTAGACAGATAAACAAAATGACTACGCGGATAGTAGCTCTGTCTAGTTTTTAAACGTCGGCGCGCTAAGAATCGCTGTTTCGAAGGCGTGCCACCCCCCACAGTCACGCGTCTTTTTTTATTTGCTTTATTTGCTTGTCACGAAGCAGCGCCCAAGTTGGGATGTTCGCTATTTTTCGTGCACCCCAGGCGCGATGACGCACGGATTCCGGCGAAGATGCAGAGCGGCTGGGGTGCCTGCCGCCAGCGCGGGCTCGACTGCCGACGGACCTGTTTGCGATAAGTCAAGGTACTCTATACGAGGAAACAGAGCGCACGGAATATCAGAATATGAAAAAAAAAAAAAGAGGCACGCGTAGTCGTCATTAAAAAAAAAAAGAATTAAGGAAAGGCTGTGTGAAGCTGTGTTTGTGCCGGAGGCGAGACGTACTTGTAGGTGAGCCCGTCGCCTTGTCCAATTAGCTGCTGGGCGGTGAGTCCATCCTCGTGAAACGTCGCCTTCTCGGCCATGGTCACTGACGGTGCCGACTCCTGAATGTCCCAAAGTGAAGTGAGCTTATCGGCCCAAGCAATTCGTGAAAACGCACATGTGCCCGCATTCCCTCTCGCGGGAGCTCGGCAGCCAACCATCGCCTGCTCCTGCGATGGCGCCACCGTAACTGCATCGAGGTAAGAGTACGGTCAACGCGCGGAGGGCCTCAGCGCGCGCCCTTGATTGGCTTCTAGATTGACGTCAGCGCAGCTCACTGTGCTTCGCGCGCGTAAAACCTGTTTGCGCCTGGCTGACGGGCGCGTGCTGGCTAACATGCTTGGGTAACAAGAAATAACGAAAAACAAAACAAGTTAGGGTAGGTGCGTATAAATAAGTCCGCGATAAACAACAAATGCCTCCTGTGGCTTCCTTTCAAGCAGGAATAAATCACGTTGATTACGGTGCGTCTTTCTTAGTGGTTCATTCATGCAAAAAAAAAAAAAAAAGGTGCGCTTGAATTTGGACGAATCATAAAGGCCAAGTGCTTAAACCTAATGACAGGTTCCAGTCTCTGCATACCTTATGATAAGGTCGTTGTTCGGACACGTAGAACCCCACAATTTATCTCAAATTCTAATCTTTAGTCAGGCAGTTGTGACAGACAATGAGTATAATTGCGAGCGTTTCAAACCCAATGGTTACTTGGTGTTTTCAACACGACCCACTGGAACGTGATGGCAACGCCTCTCAAAGCGATAATGTTGCTCAGAACGACACATCAGTTGTTTCCGCACTACTGTTGTTGACGACGCGTGTTTCGTGCGACAACTGCGGCGACCTCGAAATAAAAACGAGGAAATAGCGTTCAAAGACACACGCAGTGCTGTAACGAAACATGAGCGCATTGTTTTTTGTGGAACTGTGAAAGAGTTACCGATTCCAGCCACTTGTATCCAGCCAGCTTTTCGGAGTCGTCAACATTAATACGCACTTCGCATCACTTTCTCTCTCTCTCTCTCTGAATTCCTGATTCCTCGAGGAGGAATTCTGCGCGCCGTCTCGCCTTCCGACGCATTCCTTGTTCCTTTTTTTTTTTTTTTCCTTCTTTTAACCAGGCTGCGCGCCAGGAATTGTAATGAGGCGCCCGTACGAAGTCGTTATAAAGCACGCAGCGACGTGTCGGAGCGCGCCCCGCCGCGGTGGTCTAGTGGTTAAGGTACTCGGCTGCTGACCCGCAGGGCGCGGGTTCGAATCCCGGCTGCGGCGGCTGCATTTCCGATGGAGGCGGAAATGTTGTAGGCCCGTGTGCTCAGATTTGGGTGCACGTTAAAGAACCCCAGGTGGTCTAAATTTCCGGAGCCCTCCACTACGGCGTCTCTCATAATCATATAGTGGTTTTGGGACGTTAAACCCCACATATCAATCAACGTGTCGGAGCGCGGCGCAAAGGAGCGCTAGCGCCGCTTAGTGTGACTCTAGCGTCGGCTAATATCACAGACACTCATCCCACGCGCGCTGCTGATACGATAACGACTGCCTCTCAGACGCCACGTCTACGCGTCCCCCCCGTCTGAAGATAAGCGAGCGCGGCAAGCATGGCGGTGACATTCACCCGGCGCGGTGGACGCACTTGTATGGCTTTATTGCGCCCGAGGTTCAGGTTTATCGCGTGGCCATTGCTCGCGCAGTAAAAGTCACTGGATTACGCGTTCTCAGCAGGATCCGCGTATCTTTTTTCACAGGACCCATAATTCGTATTTGCCTAAGGTAGTGACCTAAATTGCGCGTTTCGTTCCAAGCGCGTCAGCGAACAGTTAGCCTGGCATACTGTTGCATCTCAACGCACGTCGCCTAACATTTCAAGACCAAATAAGCGTTGTTATCTCAGAGCTCACACTTATCATTTATGCACCGATAAAGCAATGACATTGCTATATAAAACTAAACGCGAACCTTTGTCATATAAACAGTATGAGGTAGGAAATTTTCAGTTGCGGGAAGTGAATTATGAGGCATTTAAGTTCTTTAACACACTGTCAAGACACCCTCGATCCCTTTGACAATTTCGTACTGTGCACAGCTTCGTGATATATTGCCCGCATTTGTGTCAATGTGGGGCTAGGTATGACCTGTTGATGTCAAATAAAGACAGCAAGTGCGTGTCGTCTTCGGAACACTGAAAAAAAAAGTACGATTTTTCAAAAAAATATATCCTTAGGCAGTGGCCTTCTGCACTTCAAAGAAAGCATTCCGCGTGATACATTGTTCTCCGGTTGTTGTTAGTTGATTCCGTAGTCACTAAGGACATTTGAAGTGACAGCGTGACTGCCTTTCAACTCTGATGCTTTATTTAGTGTACTAGTTTTTTATTAATACAATTTTAGATTCTATTCAAACTATATCTTTCAAAACACCACTTGTTTGCGATCTACGTGTTTTATTGAATTTCACACCGGTATATGCATGAAATTTCATGTACACACAGCAGGATGCAATCAATACCTGCTGAAAACTCTTTCGTCTGATTTACCCCGTCAGACTTCAATGCATCGCCACAGCATGATGCATGTCAATTTATGACCTTTTTTTTTTCCGGCAATCTCTAGTACGCGTCACATTGGCGTAATATTGGCTAGTGCATTTTCGTAGATTCGTAGCGACATGACGCGGTTATCTCGAGTAATCCCGAATACTATAGTTGATAAACTTGTAGTGCATGATCATCATCATCATTTTCTCAATCACCGCGCCGCGCCTCTCGCGCAGCTGACGCTAGCTCGAGCTGCGCGAGGATGAGAACGAGCTGACACGCCTGGCATGGCGGACGCTGGTAGCCGACGTGGCTCCGCTTCAGGCCTAGAATAAAGTGGCGAGATCGGCACGGCCCCATCGGCCGCCTTCGACGTCATCTCACGTCTCCTTCCCTCGCCGCTACATTGGTGACCCGGAGAACACGCCCTTCGCCGAACGGCCCGCTGCCATGTTCCCGCAACTCGGCCCGCCAGTGCCGCCGTTCCAATCGACCTACCCCAAGGTATGGTTTATGCAGCTCGACGCCGTTCTTGCGGTGAATGGCATCACGGACCAGCTGCTGATGCACGCCATTCTTCTCGACGCCCTACCGGTAGAGTTGCGTCATCTCTCTGGCACTTCAACCTCCAGCCAGCAGCCTTACGATGACCTCTGCTCGGCGGTGCTTGCCAGACATGGCCTCGCATACCATCCGCTTCCGTTTACCCGCACCAGGCAGGTTTCCCAGGCGTCGCAGAGCAAGGTACGAACCGGTCCGCAGCCCTCCATGGACCGCTACCTCGGTACCCCGGCTTCGACTACTTCTACACCTGATCCGGTCGCAGAAACATCAACCCCTGCACCTGACCACGACCGCGAGGTAGAAGACTCCCCCACTGCGACTGACCTTCCCTCCGAGAGGTACATTCCCTCAGAGCCCCCGTGCAGAGCTTCATCACACGCACCTGCCACCTGCACGTTTTCCACGAAAGCGACGGCACGCGACACCGTGGCCCTCGCCGTTTCCGCGACCACCAGCTCAGACATCTCGGCCTCCTCCTCGCCGCAGCTGCTGGTCAGCTCCTCGGCGGTGCCCCTTGCCGCTCCGCCACCTGCCACTGGTGCCAGCAATGGCCTGCTGGGTGCCTCGCCACATTCCACTCGCACCTCCCCGGCCAGCAGCCGACCACCGTCGGCGTCCCCGCTCCCCGCCCCTGTCCCTGTTTCTGTTTCGTGGTCTATGACGGGCCCCAGCGTCGTGCCTTCGCGGAGCCAGAGCCTGCCCTCATCGTCGGCGTCGACACCGGCAACCACCAGAGCAACTGCCACCGTCGCCCCTCTGCCCGTGGCGCCGCAGCAGGCACCTGCGTCGAGACCCGGTGTCGCACAGGTGGTTTCGGCCAGCCCCAGTCCTCGCACCTCTGGTGCCCCCCGGCTCATCCAGCCGAAACAGCCACAGATCCTGCCCAAGCTGTCGAGCGGCAGCGCGAACATGACGACGTCTTCGGCAGCAGCGATCACCCGGTCCCAGTCTCCCCGGGCAGCCCAGCACAAGGCCACACCGCGGCCCGCGCCTGTACCGGCGCCGCAGCCTGCGACCACGGTGCAGCGCGGAGCCGCGATGGGGCTCAACACGGGGAGTCCGCTGCTCATCGGGAACCCCGCGGCAGTGCAGCCGGGCATGTTTCCGGCTGGACCTGCGCACAGCACTTTCCTGCTGAACCAGTACATTCCGGGCCTGGGCCACAGCCCGATTCTGATACAAGGCGCACTGGGGCAGACCCAGAGCTCTCTGGGACAGATACAGGGGGTCCAGCTGGCCCTGCGGCCACCCCATGCCACGGGCCTGACCCTGGGACCTCAGACGGGGCCCAGGCCCCATGGGGGACATCCAGGACCGCCTGGCACCCCGACGCTTGTCATTCCACAGAACCTGGGGCCAAGGCCCAACATCTTTCTGGCACCGCCACGCATGATGTCGCCCCCCTCGTTTGCCATAGTCCCGGGACAGCCACTGACGCTGCAACAGCTGCAGGCCATGCCGCCCACGCAGACCATGCTGGTCCAGCCCACACTGGGTGCGTTCCAGACAGACCAGCACCAATCCCTGGTGCAGATACCGACGTTCACCCAGCCGCAGATACTGCCGCATGCCCACCATCACCACCACCACCACCACCACCATCATGGGGCCCTGTCGGGACCTCTAATCTCGACAGGCGGCAGTATAGTGTCCTCTGCACCGAGCGCCAACATTGTCACCCACCATCCTGTCATGACCTCACGACACACGGTCCACTCTCGGCCTGTCCGACCAGGTCGCCGTGAGACCCGCTTGTCGGCTACCACAGCGACCCGGCACTTCCTCCTGCGTCCTCTGCGCAACTCCCAGTGTCGCCCACCAGAGACCCACCGGTTCCCGACGGTCACTACACGTTAACAAACTGGACTTCCTAAACTGACACCTTGCGGATTGTCGTACATGTATATAGTCTCTTTCTCTTTCTTTGTCATATACACTTCAAATCGCGCAAAGCGCTAGGGGGGGAGCCCTGTAGTGCATGATCATCATCATCATTTTCTCAATCACCGCGCCGCGCCTCTCGCGCAGCTGACGCTAGCTCGAGCTGCGCGAGGATGAGAACGAGCTGACACGCCTGGCATGG